ATGATATTTACTTTTTACATTATCACGATTTTCACAGTTTCATAATATTTGTTATAACAATTTAAAAATTATCTTTGGCGCAGATATATCCCAAAGGCCTTGCTGCTTACTTAGACAAGGCTGATTAACTTAACTTCCCTTGGATGAATTTACTGATATGCATATCTCTTAGTCACTGCCGCGCATTCTCCGTAATCAGGAAAAATTAACTTCAGAAAACGGTAGTGAGGTAATCCGCTCAGATGTAAAACCCATACCCGACATCTTATCGAAATGCTTTTGTGGTGGAAATTTGCTCACGTCCTGCACGACATTTTTAGCTAAAACTCAGTCGATTAGTGTTAAATGATTAACTTTCGCTACAAGCTGCACTGGAGAAATCCAAAAGCGGCATCCCTTAGACTATGCTTGTAATCTCTCTTTGTTGGGGCAGAACTGACGCACGAACCCTCGTATACTGCTTTGATATAGGCCTCTTTGGCTTTTCACTAATTATTTCCCTTCTAAATCTAGTTGAATTTAATCCGATTAAACCAACAGCGAGGGCCAACCTTTACGTCGGGTACAAGTAAGGGAATTAGACTGTTATCAACAAAGAACGGGTTTTATGACCCTTTGTCACGGCATTGAGGAATCAGTGACAACTTCGACCTTCTTCTTAATTTTTTAGTCTAATCGATGTAACCATGGCTTCCGTAAAGCGGGGTGTGGAATGAGGGATAGAAATTGTAAATTCTTAGCTTTATTTTCTTTTTTCGTCCGTTACAGTAACTAGGAGCCCCTTATCTATGAAAGCGATCGCTGACTGCTTGCGGTTTCTATCGAGTTCAGATCTTTTTGTAACCGAATTTGTGTTTTAAGATGTAGAGAAGAAAAGGAAGTTCTCCAAACTCCAACCAAGCAGAAGTAGTAAAAGATAAACAGGCTGAAAAAACATTTCGTAATTTCGACTTTGACTCTCGTGTCCCCACTCCTCCCCTCATGACCGCCATACTTAGAGAAGTCATGTAAAGGAAACGTTTGATTTGGATTGTCGGTAAGCTCTTAAAGCCATCTTTCAGCGACTGAAACTCAAAAGTTCGTCGCTGAAATCTTCATCACTTCATCACTAACCGATTTACTCGTCATCTGTGTCGGTGAAGTTAATTTTTCTTTGCTGTTTGCAGTATCTACTCATTGATCATTTTCGTAATTCTCGCCACATGTGTTTTTGTTCTTCGCAGTGAAGTAGAAGATGTCAGGGGGAAGGCACAGATTACTTGGGATTGGGTCAAGTTTTTCGCATGTTTTCTTGAAATGCGTAACGAACACGCCATATAGAAAGAACAGACATTTCTTGACGAGCAATAGTAGCCTTTTCAGTTACAGTGTAATTGTACAGCAATGCTGTAACACCGCTATCTTCAAACGGATGTAGTTGTTACGGTGACTTGTTTCCGCTGGGTAATCCCACTCGTCTTTGCGGTGAACTTTCCTTTCTGAACGTGATCAACTTGAGATCACTTCAAGTTTGAGGTAAATGCTACACTGGGGATGTTTGTCTTAGTAACGCTAAGCTAACACTCACGGTGCATTGATTTACACACGAGTGACGCACGAATGTTTTATTTTTGAAAAAGAATTCTTCAACAGAAAAAAATTTTCCGGATTATTCTCAGACCGCAATAGCCATATTCCCACGTAAATATTTCGAATATGAACGTCTCTTTTTTGTGTTAACATCCAATTGCTTTCAAGATGGATAAGATTTATTCACGAGCAAAATTTCTAGAAATTCATTTTATTATAACTCCAGTTTAGCTTGGCGTTCATTGTACTCCCTTTCCCAAAAAGCTTTTTGAAAACACAGATGTTGAACCTCACATTTTCTGCCTTCATGGGCATGCATGCATCCTTCGAATCTCACGTCCCCTTGTAACTAGGTTAAGTTAAAGGAACAAAATCTGGCGTGCGAGACATGCTTAAAAAGCTGTTTCAACATAAACAAGAGGGTTTTGATTAGAAAGCTCGAAGACAGCTTTCGAGTGTTGTTACCTTTTTGTGTCTTTTTTGAAAAGAGAAGGATGTGTTCATTCAACCATTAAACCCAAACAAATCATTAAATGGGCATACAGGATGAGTTCAAGTCCGCTTTAACGACCTCTGTCCCTCACGTTTTGTTTCATTGAGCTATTTAGAGCGAAGGCATTGTTATTCGTTCACAAATTACTCTGAGGCACATTTTATAAATAGAAAACTTGGATGGAGTTCAAATTGATTGTATATTCAATCGGGAACGTTTATTAGTTTCCATGCAGATGTTTCCTCAAAAGGAATTGGACAACTGTTCTCCCTTTTCCCTGTCCAGTTTATATTTTCCTCAAAAAACAAGTTGGAAAATGTACGGCACCTCAATAACAAAAAGGAGAATCTGTACGCTTCTTTCAGAAGTCTTATCCCACGAAGTCAATATTTGAAAGGTTTTATTTATTCGATAGTGCAGAATCATGTTTCCGCATTCCCCCCTTATTTCTTGAACCAAAGTCCTTTTACGGCGGAAACCGCTAAATCATTCTGTAAATTAGATAGGAAAGAATTTCAAAGCTAAGGAATCTCGCTTATCACGAATTGTCAAAACAAGCAAACGGCGTATGCCTGTGAGCACGTCGTTGACTTAGAACGAATTTTGGTTAGCATTTGAAAGGAGAAACCAGCTTACACTACGACGGTTCGGATAACCGAACGAAATAAGCGTTTCTGTATACAACCCTAATTAAATAAAGAGGGTTCAGTTTAGTTGGGCTTTGTAAAAAGCTTAGACAAGAATAACGAACCAAAATATTTTTTGATAGCGTTGTTTCTGGTAATAGAGATAGGAAGTATGATTACTGTAAGCCCTCAGGCGTTTTGTGTCGGTTGATCAGTGATAGGAAATTTATTTACTGAAAAAACACTGATATAGGTTCACAGAAACATCTAGTAACGTTTTCAACAAACTCGAAAATTGTAGAATACTCAGAGATTTTTTCCTTCCCTTCAGCTGCTAACCTTTGTACCATCGTCTTCTGGTGATAGATTAACGGAAACTGGAAAGGTTACTGATGTTTGGACAAGAAAAGTTAACCCATCGTTTAAAGTTTGTTTGTACAGCTTCCTGCATTATCCCTTTTAGAAAAAACCGTGGTGGTTCTTTTTTTTTTTTTCCCAGCCGAATACTGTCGTTATTAAAATGATCTTAACTACTTAGTTTTCAATTCTTCTTTAACGACCGTGGGCTAAGCCTTTAGTCATTAGATCGATATTTCAATCGAAAACATTTACGGTGTTCACAGCTTTCTAAAGTTTACTTTAAGCTATAGGAAAACGTTAAATTGATGCACCGTAATTGTGTTAAATTTTTGGTGTGTGTTATGTGGTATGGTAGGTACAGGTATATTAAATATTTTGGGCGTTTTTGACGCGATTTTCTCGGACATGGATGATACAATTAGCCCCAGAAGGACCTGGAGCCGAGGTAGTCTTTTAAAACAGATGAATCCCCTAGTTTGTTATTTTGGTTGAAATACTTTCTATTTCCGATCCACGATTTCCTTGATTATTTTCAGCGATTCGATGATTTTTTTTTTACTTTTCATTGCATCAGTCTTTTTTGTTCTTAATCTCGTTGCGTGAACAGGATCTGAGACCATTTCAGTTCAGAAAGGAAACGTTTTGTTGCCAGCGCAATATTTCAGGATATTTGGAGTTGCTATTTCCTTTCATTTTCAATTTGGTTTCTTGTTTTAATCCTATGAGCCAAAGAAACTCCTTTTTCATAATGAAAAGGAAACACATTTTTTTTTATGGAAAGCAATATCTCGGTTTCGACCTGACCTGTTTTGTTGTTTAATGTGTTCGGTTAATGTGCCAAAAGTCTTTTTCACAGTAAGGTTTTATAAGAAGGTATTGTTTTTCTTGCATGGAAAGGCAATACTTCCTTTCATTTAAATGATTATTCAACACATTTTCTTGATCTGTTTTGCCACTGTAGATTTGTGTAACACTCCTCAGTATGGGAGTTATGTAAGCAATTCGCTCCCAGAGGGTCAGAAATGATTTCCGGTAAATTTGTAAGATAAATGTCCCTCACTTGAGTGAATTTAAACTTGTGCGATCATATTTGGCTGTAAGCTTGGGCAAAGCTATTCCTTGAGCAATGTAGCTGTGAAATCCATTCAGCTACAAAATGGGGGCTCTAGTAAAATAGCATATTAGAATTAAAGACTCCTTTGCGAAACGACAATTTTTCAACGTACAGAACTGCGAGGTGAGCTTCAGGTTTTTCTTTGTGTGTTGAATCCAGTACAGGGAGATCATGATCCTTTTGTGTACTCAAAGCAATACTTGAAACTTGTTTCGGCGGCGTTTTTGTTCTAAATTCGAGAAAGGTACGTCACCAAATGAGTTTTGGTGGTTTGGAGACAAAAGAAAGAAATCAGCTCCAAAATGGAATACTTCAAGTGCTAACTCACTGATTACTGATTGCTAAAACAACACCGAACATCCTTTTTTATTACACTGTTTTCAAATGATAACAGCTTGATGAATTGACTAGAAGTTATTTTAATGCAAATTCTTTGTTTGGTTTGGACCGTTGGTTGTTTGGATTGTTTAGATCCCAATTTCGAATTTGTTAACCGACGTGTAATAAATACTCTCATGACTACTGATTGTTTTCTGTTCTCTGGTTTTGCGTCAAGAGAAGCGTATTTGAAGTTATTTTCCAGTGTAATTCAAAGGTTTTCTTTTAAACCATGAGACAATAAGGGTAGTCTTGTAGATGATAATAATAGGGATCAACATGCAAATTCTCTCCACAATATCAATATCTTTGCAGGGTAACAGGTGTCGAGAAGTCAGAACCGTGATCTTTATGCATAGTACGACACATAAACACTGAATTCTGTGTACTACCCTCGTTGAGCAAAAATTACAATCAAATTATGTTTTCGAGTTCAACAAAAAACTGAGGTCGTTGATATGAACAAAGCCGCTTTATTGGAAGAAAAATCATTACCCAATTTACCAATTGTAAATCGGTCTCAATACGTCATTTGCAATATTGGGTCTTGCAAAACAATACCTAATAGTTGGCGCACGAAATATTGTCTACCTGAATACTCAACATTCGCTTTCTTTCAATTCATGCGTAATTTTCTTAGTTAGAGGTTGTCGTAAACCTTCACTTAGTCAGTTCAACTAACATACTTTTTGCAAGTGTACAACAGTGATGTCTGACTTTGATACGAACTATATGTCCGGAGTGGCAGCCATCGTGGCGCCAGTATTATGCCATATCCTGCGATTTTTGACTGTCAATTTTCAACCAAAAACCACCAAGTGGAAAATTGCAGCCGCTGAAGTTGTGTCTGCTGATCGACAGGAAGCGATCTGGTTGAATTGTGGCTGTTCTCGAAAAGCCTTTAATGCAAATTTCAAGCTTCTTTTGATTTTCAACTGACAACTTGTTCTTTGATGGCTTTCGCAACATTAAAACATATCAACCGTAATCTAAACAATTATGAAGTACCCTGTCACGAGTAACCATCTCATTTCGAGTATATGGACAAAGTTCATTTGACGTGACATTTGGTCGGAGACCCCGAGGAAAGAAAATTAAATTAACGCCGAAAATCGAGACGATGGTTAAATGAAACGAAAACATAAACAAATTTTAAAGGTTGATTGATTAAGTCGTGGGCAGTCATCGGAAGGAAAATAGCAAAGAAAACATCTAAATGTTGTCTTTTGTTAGACCACTAGTTAATTTGGAGCCGTTTCCCGTTCTATTGATTCACCTACACCAAATTGGACGCGATTGAGAGCGCGAGTTCGTGTCGATGGAAAACAAATCTCGTCCTCCCTAGAGGGTGATCAAGTTGATTTGCGGTTCGTGACAAAGCCGACCAATGAGAGATAATACCGCGCACAAGAAGCGCTAAGGCCTCTTGTCATTTGTCATCAGTGACTGGGTGTGGACTTCCGTTTTGAGTGGGTTTCTTTTGTGTCGTGTTTATGTAGGGCACCATTTGCATTTTAATCTTTCGCAACGGGAAATTAAACTTGAGGCTCTAAAGCTTTTGTTTTGGCTCCCATCTTTTCAAGAACGTAACTCGTTAACGGGTGTACTTGCGTTTAGATTGAACTTTTTTCTCGCACTTAAGAGGCGATTAACTTGATCAAACGCAGTGGCCAAGTTCTCGGTGTGAAAGGGAAAACCCACTGCCTACGTAAGTCGGTGATCGTTCACTCATAGAACCGGAACTAAGTCCCGCCATAGCATACCATCATTTCCGTTAAACAAGTTTATCACTTGAGGGATTTTAAAGCTTGAATTACAATAGAGAATAATCGACCTCGGCTAAATATAAATTACTCAAAACAACGGACTACAAAGGAGTGAGAAGGAAAGTGTTTGGCTTGTGAAACAGGCATTTTTTTTCTTATCGAAGTGCTGCGGCAAGATAATTTACTTCGCTGCGCACGTTCGACTGGCGGGTTAATTGAATCTTTAGAGCTGTAGAAAGAATAGCCAGGATTACACGACAAATTTATTCTCAACTCGTCGAGTGTCCTTATAACGCTGAGAGAGAATATTCATGCGCTGGATGAAGTCTTGATCGCTCATTGTCTGCCAAAGCATTAGCACTGCCGGGGAGTTTTCTGCGCCCGACGGTTTGATAGGAAATTCGCGGGAACTCTTTTCTGGCAGATTTGATAAAAGGAAACATTAAATTTACCAAGCTGATAATCGGAAGTGCCACGCAAGCTAAGAAAGGCCAGCCCATTATAATACAGTCACGACGTAGGTCGCCTTCAGTTTGAATACAGTGACAACACTGAACGGTCGTCGGTGGACAGCGAGCGAAGACTCGTAGCTGAACATCGCTTAATGGCAAAGGACAACTGATCACAGAAAGGCTCACGACTCTTTGAACTCGATGAAACACGAAGGATTAAGCAAGATGATGATGCACGGTACAACAGAACGAAATAATTTCACCCTGGTCGAAAACAAATTGCCTGGTTTAACTACGAACTTTTCTTCAGCCGGCATACCCGAAGAGAGTGATGCGGATGATTACTACCCATTTGTGATTGGACACGGGTCGAGTTTTAAAGTCGTCGACCCCAAAGTGTACAAACATCTGCGTCGACATAATATTCAGCAAAGGGTACCTGTTAAAGTAGCAGACTACGGGAATAAACCGACAGTCGGGAGTCGGAGAACACGCGCTACAACGAACACTAAGTTATCGAGTAGTTCGGACGATGCGGACGAATACTGTGAACTTTCACCGCTTGCGAAAGCGCCCCCCATACCGTTATCTACTCTCCGGTCTCAGCCCGTGGAATTAAAACCCAAGAATAATCTCATGAAAGTGTCCAGTTTCGAGCGGAGACTTTACACAGATTGTTATTATTCAAAGACTAAATCGTGTCTGGTCGAGAGCCAGCCGAGCTCTCCTAAATCACGACCTACTACGCGACTTGTGGACACTAGCTCATTGAAAAGCGAGCGCAGGGAGAACTCTTCACAATGGGCAAAAGAAAAGCAGGAGCCCCTCTTGTGTGGTGTGGAAGCAGACGAGATCATAGACTATGCCACTTGTATGTGTTGTGTTAAAGGTGTCTTTTACCACTGCACCAAAGATAGTTATGATGAAGGACAACTTGCCGATGAACCGTGTTCGTGCGCGGGGCCCGTCAGCTCGTGCGCGCCTCGCTGGGGTTGTCTTGCTATTTTATCACTCTTCATTCCCTGCCTATGGTGTTACTTACCCGCTGTGGGCTGCAAAAAAGCCGCCACGAGCGTCAAGAAGAAGAAAAAACCCCAGAAACGCTTTAAACAATTTAACTATTCGTAGATGAGGATCCCTTAGAGCAGAACATTTTGACTTCATAAGTCAGACTATTGAGGTAATTTTCGTAAAATATACCGCCGTATTTTACGTGCGCTTTTATATGAGTTGAAATCGAATATTTTATTTACCGGGTGGTGAATGATTTGTTAGAAGTTTCAAACAGATTTTCGTTCGCATGGCTGTACTCTTTTACTGCGATTTGGTGTCTATTAGCGCGCGGGGAACTGTTATCTATACTTCTATTAACTCAAATGATGACAGCGTCTGTGTTTCATGTCATTCTGTTTATCGAAAGTTATAAAATGAAATCAGACTTTGAAGATCTTTAAGGGATGACTGATGGATTAAGAAATTTCCTACTGGTTCGATTTCAGGCTATCAAATGTTTCTGTTTTCCCAAGGGCTTTTTCACTCGCTAATCTATTTTGTCTGTTTTGAAAAATTTGTTTGATGTCTTTTGACGGACTCACTTTCACTCGACTTAAAATACACACAGTATTATAATATGCGAATATGCAGCAATGTAAAAAGGAAAATGTTTAGTTAAATTATGACGCGCAGAAAAAAAAAATTATAATTTATGAAGTTATTAATCTCTGTATTTAAGTTTTCTCCTGTTTGACTTTTGTATGTAAAATTGCTCCTTCTCTGAAGACTTGTTACTTCAAGGTTAAGATATGCGGAACACTCAGAGAAGAATGGAATAAATCTGGGTGGTTCAGGATATGTTTTGTGCCTGGTAATTTCTTGTTCGTAAGTTTTCAGCATTCCTTCATTAGTTAACTACCTCGTTCCTTCCGTTAGGTTAGTTAGAACCCGCCTCCCAAGTTGTGATAAATGTATTTCAGTTTTTGTCTCAACACTTAACCCAAACTATTAGATCATTTTGAAAAGCGCGCAATCCTTTGCTCTATTTAATGCAATCGTGGCTAGGTATCTAAAAGCGTTGGCGATGTTTCTATGACATAATTTAATCTAAGCAAATGAGTTGGCCACAAATGTTTCTTTCCTTGTGATAACAAAAGAAACCTTAGCATGTGACGTGCTGATACTCTGTTATCGCGCTTTCAGTCGGAAACGGAAGTGGGAGGCGTCTAATTTCGATACTCGATGTTTCTTCACAGCGCTCAGTGGTCAGTGGGCTTCCGCTGGCTCTCTAAACGTCTTTTCGTCCAAAATAGATCGAAAGAGAGCGATATTTGCCCGTTTTAACCTTTATCTGGAGCATTTGTATTATTACTGTGAGCATGAATCATTTATATGTAATATCAACTTTCGGATCCTTTCGTTAAGTTGTTGAATAGTTTTACGCTGTCCTGAACCTTTTGTTGCGCGCAATTTTGATAGCAGCACGAGTTCCGTCTTTTGACAATTGGATATCAAAACGAGATGGATAATCCTTAGTTTCTGTGGAGGATTTTAGCCTCTCGCGCCGCGATAATTGAAAAAAATCGTCGGATTGAAATATTGTTCGTCAAATGCGATAAGTATGGTCAACGAGGAAAGTATAGTGTAAAAGTTTTCATTTTCTCGTCTTTTCAAAATTTAGTCGTTCAAGTTGTCAAGCACAGGCACCACTTGTTTCTTCACTTGGGTTGACTTCAATTAATGGCGTAAATGGAGAAATTTTAGTTGCGTGCCTCAGTTAGCTGAAGATGATCTGACGGAAATAGGCTAGTAACCTTCTGATCAAGGCTTAAAAAAGAACTTGAGTCGTTGAATAGGCTCAAGTTGTTGTTATTTTCTTTATCGGAGAAAAGCGTTTACTTCTATCACAATATCGAGTTTATCGCCATGCTTTTATTTTTGTTTACGTCAACAAGACTCTATATCGTGAATCATTTATTTTACATTGTGTACACTTGCACCTCGTGTGCAGCTTGCAAGTTTAATGAGAGTTCAATTTTGACATGATGCTTTAAGCTTTTATTAAGATTACCATCTTGAACTCTCTCGTATAACTACCACGCATTTAATGATCGACACATTTCGGTAGGGAAGGTGCAGATTATTCAGGTGGTTACGCTAGTTCAGCCATAGAGCCTGGCTGAGAATTTCTCATCGTATCGAGCCGCATTACAATGGAGTAGAAATCAAGTGTTTAACCCTGACATCGCGAACTGGCTAATGCAGCCATGATAATTTTGGGCCCGCAGCTTCGAGCCATGAGAAACGCTTTAACCACATAATTTCAAAATCCAAGGGGCATCTTTTACTAAATACTTACAAATCATTTGAAAACTTTGTTGGCATGTAAATGATGTGTGGGTTGCTTCTCCACGCACTGCTTTTAACAATTCTTCTCTGGTTCCGCTATGGTTTCTGACGCCCCATTCTCACTAAATAGTAGAGGGCGTCATAAGACTCCATAACAAAGGCGTGAAAAGGCTTAATTTTATTAAAGTAATAAGTATTACTTAGTGCTACAAAACATCAAGCCAAGCTTTTCACGCATTGAATGACAGATTGGTATCATAGAAATGTCGAGCACTTCGATTATTATGTGATGTCTGTAGACGTACTCAATCAGTTCAGTGCCATGGGTGTTTTTTGATTAGAATGAAAATAAACATACTACTCGTTGCTCAATTTACTCTATTTATCGTGAAGCTTTATAAAAGTCGAACCTCAAAGTTCCTCCCATCTTGAATAATGTTTATGTATCGCCAGACCTCTTCCCGCTTTGAAGCGAAATCGGTAACCACCACGATCTTATTCATCTTTCCCACGACTATCATAACTGTTTTGAAAGTTTTTAGCCATGCTTTGTATAGCTTAAGTGACTCTATCAGAGTTGCAATTTCTTATAATATTGAAGTGAATGTGACATTGAGCTGCCTAAACGAATTCTTTCAATATTTTTCCCTCTACGGTACCGAAATAAACAATTTGTAACAATGTGTTAAAGTATGAGGCCAGTCATCGCCAATGATAATCAGATAGGATCTTATAAATTAGCAGGTTGTCCTCGAAATGTATCATCTTTTTAAAATTTGTCCCATTTTGCCAAGCGTGAAGTTTCAGGGAAGGTTTGAGATATTTGAAAAATTCATTAATATAAGTATGTTGTTTTGTTGTCAAATATCTGCATCTCGTATGTCCCAGAAATTTTCTGCTATTGTTTTCCTTCGCCCTAGAAGACTGACTTCGTGGGACTTGAGTGTAGGTTTATCTTGAAACAGGTATTTTATTTCGAAAATGTTTTTGTTTAAACGGAACACTGCTATCGAGTCTTGGGTCTAGACGAACAATATTAACGGAAAAAGTGTACGAATCATTCAGGATGCCACTTCACCACGAGAGAACTGAAGTTTTAGTATTGGGATGATATTGTTGTTTCGCTTTGATAAGGTAAAACCCCCTTGTCGCTTGGAGCGGAAGGGAAATCTTGACCTTTTTATAGTCGAGTTTACGACAGGTTGCATCGAGATGGTCAGTATTGTTCATCTTGAAATCTAAATATATCTTTGTTTTCGAAGTTTTGGAACTGAACAACAGGTCATTAAAACAAGGGAGGGGAAGGTCAGGCTTTGTGAAATGTACCTTATAGCCGGGGTGAACATATGACTTCCTTCTAAGAAAAACAGGGCGTTGGCTCACGAGTTTCCTTTAACTGCCGTATGAAATTTCCTAGTCAATACGCTAGCCACTATTTCTCCGGTATGCAATTTCATAACGTGCTAATCACGCTAAATCACGAGCGAGAGTTCAGTCAACAGGAAATTTTGCCTGTGGCTAAAAAGGCGTTTCTTCTGGTAAACATTAAAGTCTTCAACGAAGGTGAATCGTGACAATTTGAACACGGACTAAAGAAATGGCGAGGGACTAAATGGCTTGTTTTTTGTCATACCTCACAGAATATTAAAAGATAGAGATACAGCTTACAGGGAAAGGAAACAGTTTTTGATATTAAACGGAATTAGTGTGCTTAACTCGCATGCCTTAAATGCTTACGCACTGAAACTGAAAAAGAATTAATGTGATTTATCCTTTCCGCCAAACAGTTTTGGCACAATTATTTAGCTGTACTTACAATTCTGCTGAGCATTTGTGCTGAACAGTATGACACTCTAATTAGGACATAGTTGTGCCGCGGACATACTTTTGTAAACGAACTGAAACTGGAAGGAAGTGCAAGCCCAATTTTGAGCTCGTGGGATCCTGCATTAGTCGTTGTTTTTCATTGTTGTTGAAGGCGTTGGCATATCTCTTTTCCTTTCTTTTATTAGAATAGCCGGTATTCTTTGCGACTCAGTTCTGCTGTCACGTCCCACAAGTGTCTGTTAAAACTAATATATGAGTTCGTATGAGTTTTTAGTTTGTAGAGTAGTTAGTAAACCAGAAAATGCGCCAGTGTTTTCAAGCGTTGCGCAGCGCATAGAACAAACAGCTAGTAAATTCTGGCATAGACTTTTAGTAAAGGTGTATTATGTTGTCTCGTTAGAATGAAAAAAATAGCATGCTATATACGCCTAAGTTTTACATTCAGAGGAAAATGCTTGAGCTAACATCTCGTTTTTGCCGAAGAACTGTAAATTACTGCAAAGAAGTAAAACATTTCTAACGTCGAAATCTGATTAAAGCCCGATCGTAAAGCGTCGTGAACAACGCTAATCGATAACGAGAAAATTAATGCAGGTAGAAAAACACCAACTGAAAAAGTCTCTGAAACCTCAATAAAGATCTGATGGAAAAGTTAGCCAGCTACTTTCTCAGAAAGGAGAGATATGGAAAGCGGGTAGACGCTAAAAAGATGTTGAACAAGTTGATTCTCAAATATTGATAATCCGACCGGATGATAATATTACTAGGTATTCGTGCTCTCGTGACTTTTCAATAGCGGCATTAAAACTTTCGAGAGCCATATTTCCTTGCTACCCTCCCCCCCCCAGGTTGGTTTTCCGTCCTATCGTGGTGAAACGTGACTCTGTCTTGTGAAGATTGCGGCTCGTGGGCACGAGAGGTCTAGTTTCGCCCACTTGACTAAAATAAGGTTTTGCGGACGGACGGGTCGCGTGATTTCAACCAGAAATCAATATGATTTTCGTGTGCCGCCGCTACTTTCCGCCGTTTCGTGACAGAAATCTCGTGTTGCTGGGACGTGCCATCTGGGTTTTCAAGTTTCATACGTTTCAAGTATCCTGCTGTGTATGTTTTGGGCGAAATTTTTGTGTGCTCCACACGCATCAGGATAGCAAGAAAAAATACAGACAACTAAGCAATCTATAATTTTTAATGAAGCACCTCGAAGGTATAACAAGATTTACATAATTTAATAACCAAGACGAGGATGATCAGGATACTACTCATATATTCTATATCTGTACATCTTACCCTACAGCACACGCCAATTTTGTTTTTAAGGGTACAATTCATTTGTTTATCGTTAAAGATACATAGAACATACTGGTTAACCTCCATGGCTATTTATATTTTGTTGTGCATGTTTTTGTTCTAAAATCTTCAGCTGTTCATACTTCTTCCAGCGGTTTTTTCTCGTGCAGACCTGGGAGGTTATCCCGTCACTTGGACCCCACGATATATCCTCCCTTTCCTTCCTATTTGGAGTTTCCTGTGCTCTATTGCTGCATTTATGCATTTTTCGTCCAAAACACCTCACGAATTTAAGATATGAACTGGAAAACTGATAAAACATTACTTAACAAACAAACGTGAACTGATTCGAGTTAGCTCGTGATAATTGCATCAAAAAGTGACGCTGTCTAACCTCTGTCGACGATAGAAACTACTTCTTGTATTCTGAAATCCTCAACAATGTCAAACCAATACTCTCTGAATTTGTTCCCATTTTAAGACCACCTCGTGATATCTATCAAAATCACGAAATTCTTCTTTGCTCTTACTAAAAAACACAAAAATGAATCGCAATTAAGAAATTAAAGTTCAGATAGAAGATTGGAATTCTTTTGGGTAAAATATGTTGTCCTTATGATCGCTTTTGAAGATTTTACCGTGCCACGAAAAAACTGAGTAAAGAAAATATGATCTATCAGGTTTATCTTGTTACCTGAATTGTAATGGTCATCAGCGTCGCTGTAGAGATACTTAAAAAAGCGAACGGACAAAACAGGGTTTTACTAAATTTAACTCATGACCTTCAACAATATGTCGAGAATCTACGCCCCGCAAAAGTCCCACGGGTTTCTCTATAAAAGAACGTTTTGATTTTAAAATAGCTGTAACCGATCTCTGACTGTAACTGTCTTTGAAATGCTGCCCTTTGGAAGGCATAGATTTGGCAACACGTGCACTCAGGTGATTGATTTGTGTCAATCACTGACAGCACTAGAGACCTTTACTTGTCTACTCGCTGTGTTGCAAGTTTAAACCAGACTTATTAAGTCCCAAACTAGACTTGCGTCCTAACTTAATTTAGATGATAAGTTAAACACTGCTTTCGATCGTTTAGCCCGAAGTCTTAAGTTTAGTGGGAGGAGAGATTTGATTAGAGCACGTAGTCACTGAAACATTTGTAGTTTGTAAGCCTCATGCGTATTGAAGGAAATAGGAGTAGATCTGACCTTTTTTCTTTCCCTCTCTGTCTCTCTCTCTCTTTCTCTCTTTAAGCATAGGATGATTAATCGTTTTTGCTTTCGATCCGCTCGTATCGTTTCTGCTTCTGTCCTCGTGAAATGGCATGCTGTGCGTTTCAGGTCCATCCTCCCTCGCCGCCCCCCGATTTTGGCACACAACTCACGAGCTTTCAAAAACTTCATACTACAGATTACCCAGGTTGAAGCTTTATTCTGTTCTTCTTGCGTTAACAGAGACAATGTTGATTTAAGTGCCGCGAGTAATGTGACATGTTAATGAAGAACCAAGGTTAAAAGCATGGAGCCTTTAAGCTCGGCCATGCCATGCCATGCCTAGCACTCCCCCGCAGTCCCAGACTGGCGTAGTCAGCAATGTAATCCCTGTTTACCAAATTTGATACATTTGATGTTATTTTACTGGGGGAAACGTGTGGTATCTTTCATTCTAACAGGAAGTCGTGACCGAATGAAAAGAGTCGCATTTTATCCACACAAAACACTGCATTAGGAAACAGTTGTTAATTGTCTTGAGGGATCTTTGATCCCCACATGGATAGCAAAGAAAATAACTGGTTGATAATCTTTCCGCTTTGGTCAGGTAAAATCAGGAAGGAAGTGTTTTTCAAGGGACTCTCGAGGTTAAATAAATGACTGTTAATTTAAATGTTTTCTTCCATTAGTCATGTTAGGCCCTCGGGCTGGCAAGTGGCCTGGATGCCGCTAATGGCCTTTTCGGTGAATTCAACTGACAGAAAATGATGATATAATAACAATACCTGGTATATTGGAAAGTGGCAAATAAAGGCCGGTTTTTTATCGAAAAGGAAATGAGCGTTATTTTTATCTGGATTGCATAGTGATCACAGGACTCAAATTGTTGTGAAAAAGTTTGCAGGAACGAAAATGTTTACAAATATTTTGTACGAGGTGTATTGTTACCAGGAATGTAAAGAAGATATGTAGTTTTACTTTATGAAACTTTCGTTCCTCCAAGATCTATCATAATGAAATCACTAAACTGAAATGCAAAGGAAGCTTTTAAGTATGTCAGTTTAATAAGGCCGATGAAACCGTCAGTGAAATAGCGATTTTTAAGAAGATTATGATAGGAAGTAAAGTTCAGCCCAGACACTATTTTCATAGGTTTAAAGATTTAATCTATCCCTTCGCCCAAAAACATCCATCGACGGGCCGTATCGTAGTTGCATAAACTTTCCTTAACTCTTAAATCATTAAATACAAAACAATTTGAACAAAGTAAACTCCACATCTTTTCATCGCATGCCATTGGTTGACTTCCCTTCAAAGAAAAAAAGAGAGACTTTTTCCCATTAGAGCACAGCTCTTTAAGATAAATTATTTACAACTTTGAGATTATTGATCCAACAAATCCATCGCACTGATGCGCTGTTATAATTCGCACAGACTGAGTGTCGCCGCGGTCTCTTCATTCATTGTCACATGAGGTATGTAGGAAGGAAGAGATTATTGTTATTGCTTTCTTTAATTATATAGGTAACAGGAAGATGAAAAGTTTGGTTAATGTGGTTGAAAAAACATTCCTGTCTATACGCACAAATCTCGTCATGTGATATTTGATTTTAAGGTGGTGGCGTCCTCTTCAGCCCCTTGTTTGCGCGCGAACGCAATATCTACCATTGTCTTGGGAAGACACTGATCTTGGTTCTGGCTTTGTTCGATATTATGGCTTCCATCCACATTGTCATGTTAGCGTTACGGTTTATACGATTGAACAATTTGCCCTAATTTTACCATTTCGTCATTTGTAGTCCTTGTCTCTCATGTTCATTCAGTGAACTTTGCCCCTTCTTGCGTTCTTGGTTTACTGCCACCTTTCTTAGTGTTCTTAGATCTTGCTCAAATGATATTTTGTACTTCCCTAAGATTGGAAGTTATTATAATTGTTCGAAAAGATATCGTTACTTGGGCAAAATAGCAACAGGTTAGTTTTTTTTAGGTTCAAGTTAGTTTTGTGCAAAGCACAGGAAAAGGTAGTTAAGTATAACGCATTATATTTGGGGAGAAAGCGTTAGTGAAAGAGTCTCACAATACTACTAATTGATTTGCGTGCCATCGAGGCTGTTCTGGCCTCGTTTTCAGGCCATTCTCACCAGACCTCGTGCTACTTCAAGCAACTTTGTTAGACACGTCCTATTCTGTTTATCAGAAATCCGCGATACTTTGGTCAGAAATCATTGACAAATTATGCAAGACTCTTTTTAAGCATTCGTTAAAAGTAACCTTCTGGGCAACACAGTATCTCATAGAATGCCATACTGTCTTTGCTAGGTCTTGCTTGAGGAGGGACTTTTCTCTTTGCTCAGGCGGTGTTGTTTTCATCTTCCAGATTGACTCAGTATCTACCCGATGTACTGTGCGTGATAGTTCACAGATATATTTTGATTCAATTATAAAGAGTATGGAGGCGTTCGGAAAGCCACTTGTTGAAAACACGTGATCAGTTCGTGAACCTGAATTAACTAGAAATCTGACTTTGAAGAATGCTAAAAAAAAAGATCACGATGGATCACTCATCTTTTCTTTGGGTTTTTGTCATCGCAATATTTACAGGAACAAAGAAACCACATCATGAAGCATAGGCTAATTATGGTGACTGGCAATAATTACCGCCTTTTTATGGTTAATTTAGCAAACCACCTGTTTTAAGTGTTCTTCTAGAAGAGGAATCTTGAAGTCTCTCTTGTTGAGTGACTCTTATTTGTCTTTACCAAGATTGAATGGACAACAGAAGCGAAAAGAACCAGCAAGCGAAGGAAAAAATCACGCGAGTTATCGTTATTCGATTTCAAGTTTTTAATCGAAGTTACGAAACATTTTTTTTGTTTATACAAGTCCACCACGAGCGTAGGCGTCGCCGTTTACTTCGATTTGCAATTCCTACGATAAAGTGCACAGATCTCTTTACAACGCTTCAGTGACGATAACGAGCTTTGTAAAGTTTCTCTTTCGAGTTATGCCGTTTCACTGTAGCACAATACAATATATATTAAGCCCGTCATTGAAAGAAACCACGGATTAAGAGCCCTGAGGAATAAACTGAAAAAGTTGAGCGGGGCCATTTGCGAAACAACTTAAAAGGCTTAACGAGTTAAGCAAGCTGTTATTTAATACAAATAAATTAAGGGGTAAGTTTCTATAGAAACTGTGGTGCTGCGTCGGTGGGAGAGTGTAACAAGGTAGTTTGGTTTTATCAACTAAATTGATGATTTGAATTGGCCGCCGTCAAGAGTTTCAAAGCTGACGTTTCGAGCGTTAGCTCTTCGTCAGAGCGAATGAACGAATTCGTTTTGACGAGGAGCTAACTTTCGATACGTCAGCGTAGAAACTCTCTACGAGTGCCAATTTAAGTTATTAACTCAGTTGATATAACCAAACTAAAATGATTACCTTGTTATTTAATACACCGCTTTGGCAGGGTAAGCTCCGGCTTAATATTGGGCCACTTTGGTATACCTTACCTTTGGCATTGGGTGCATGATGAGGCATTGGTAAAAGAGAGTACAGGTCAGAAAGCAAGACTTTTTCATTACAATTAGGACTAACAGTACTATTCAGAACAATAAGTTCGATTTAGAACGACTTTGTGATAATCATGACCTTAATTTCAAAATTAATCTTTATTTATCTGTGCCCGAAGTAGTCACTTCCACTTGACCCTCAGCCTGCTTGAAGCCTGGTTTCCATGAGAGAACACTTTTTGTTAGAACCAGAACATAGTGCAAGCATCAATGGAAACCGATTTACAAGAACCCCAGAAATCTTGGTTATGAAATTGAGTCTTTCATAACTTTGTGAACTGAAAGTTGTTTTTTAAAAAAGTGTATAAGCTGAAGAACTATTTTATTTGGAAAATCGATCTTGATAATAATACTGAAAGGGATTCAAGGACAATGTCGATGCCCTTGACTCTCCATATATCCTCCGTCTTTCTCCCCTAAATACTCATCGGCTACTCCCCAAATTGTTGTAAGAAAACTATTTAATAAACTGTGAGAAATTTGCAGTAAAAATGAACGAACTGAAACCCTGCTCTTAGGCTTGGCTAAATTTAAATATTAACATTTCTCCTCGAACTGCAGTGTACGATCCACCTCGTAGGTAGCGGTCGGTTTGGTATTTAGTAGCACAGTCAGGAACTCATGAAAACCTTTCACTCCCGTTAATGACTGGAGAAGAACTACTCTTAGCAATTTCACAATATTTTCAAACAGAATGGTGGTGAGAAAAATGGAAAAATATCAACTTAGGGGTCTTGATTGATTTAATACCAAATTCTCGGTGAAAAATTAAAAGAAATGTATAGTAGGAAGTGAGAAGAATTGAATAAAGGGGTAAAGTTCCTAAAGAAACTGTGTTGCTGCGTCGGTGGGGGAGTATAACAAAATAATTTGGTTTTATCAACTGAGTTCTTAATGTAAATTAGCCACCGTAAAGAGTTTCAAAGCTGACGTTTCTAGCGTTTCGCTCTGACGAAGGGCTAACGCTCGAAGTGCTGAGAATTGAATTTTGATCTCTTACGTGATAGAGCTCATGGACTCTCTTCCGTATCTTTACCCGTGCGTTGTTTTTTTTTATGCTAATCACTAAACCTGGCTGCCTTAGTGGACCCATTTGCTCCCAAAAGTAACCCAAAAAGTATTTCTCCTTACTATATTAATATATTTGCAAGCAGAACAGTGATGTGAAGAAATAAATATAATAACTATGGTATGTTGTCTAAGTTACGGACATCAAATTTTTTTGGAGGTGATATTGTAAGGACGGAAAGACAGACAACGCAAAGAATCGATGGACCTTGGCAGTGATGAACTTGGTGAAAAGCATGGGAAAACCTCCTACCATCAAATGAATTAATTGCAGTCTTAAATGAAAATCGTCACTTAAGAAATAACTGATAAGCACAAGAATGTAGCACGCGGTATGTTCGAATGTAGTATCTGTAAAACATTTAATTTATAGTACAGCACCATTTGGAATCCCCAGCGGTTTGTTGGCGAATTAATATAAATTCTATAAATAAGAATACCTCCCAGGACTTTTTAAGAAGATATCGCTAATTAGGATTGCTATTTGATAGAATTAGGAAAAGATCTCCAATCGTCAGAGTGTTGAAATCTGTTTTCCTATTTTGACTTCGACAAGATAATTTAGAATAAAAAGAAACATTGACTTCAGCAAGAAGTAACAGAGTATTTATTGCTTTGATAATGAGTACGTTGGAGAGTTCGTTAAGATAACGACGAATTTCAAACAAACCTAGTGCCAGTAAGTGTAGAGGCCATTTCATGCAGAATTTTTGTCTACACCTTTGGCACTTAGAAGCACGTGCTGCTCTGCGAGCTTCAAACCACGGGAAGTGCACAACTGAGAGAAACAGTGGGTGAAAAAATCTGTATTCGTCGAATAAACAAAGATGCTGTCTTGTGAGAGGAAATGATCACGTCCCAATTTTTTTATATTGCATCTGTTTAGCAGACTCGCGATAAGGTATCAAATAGATTTGCTATTGACTCGCTCAAAATAAACTAAATTTCAAGTGTTACATTTCTATCGCTGATCAATTTTGGAGTATTCTCTATATATGTAAGGCCGCCTATACTGAGGTTCTGATAACCGTCATCACCTTAGGTGAAGGTGGCAATCGGATGGAAGACAACTTTTATCAACATGTACCTCGATGAAACTGTTTAGTTAAACATTCTTCATGAGTGAATTTTTAAGTTGAAAGAGAACGTGCTCCGAGCCGAACACTCTGGTTGTGCGATGATGTCAATATAGACGTGATTTACTTAATTATTTAACAGTCTCGATGGGGTAGGTGGCAACAATACAAGGGGTTTATATCGGGTGAGATTGCAGATCAACGTATGTCTGACCTATAATTAACTCCCCGTGATTGAAAATTTTCTACAGTTGTACGTGTCTTGATTCCTGCGGACTCCTCAGGCCAATTGTGAGCGATAGAAAAACAACCTTGGATTAATTTGTTGAGTCACAGCACGTTTTCCCGTCTCATTTGTGATTGAGGAAACAGTTGTAATTGGCTTTAGGCCATAAACAGTTCCGCGGACATTCCTAGAAAAACTGTTCATGGTTCCCACAGTCCACCCAATATCACCCGCGGCTCAACAGAGTCGAGTTTTTACTTAATTGGAAGGGTGGAGAACGCAGTGTGAAGGTTGATCTCCAGTATTGGTCGCTGCCTGTATGTTTTGTCACAATGGCGGATCTTGGAAGTACCGCAGGACAACAATACTCAGCCACCACCCCTTTTTAAATAACCAAACTAGTAATATTTGTTCCCCCATTTAATTTCATTTTTAGATCCTCAAAGTCTTCGATAACGACACTTTTATCGACTTTGTTTAAAGCACTCACTTGGAGTGGTTCCAGCGTGAGAACCCTATCTCCAGCCTGTTCTCGTCAGTCTTTCAGCTAGCCAAAGAGTCTGAGGTTTGAGGTTTGAAGTTTGACGCTTGAGAGAAAAAGGGAGAAGGCTGCCATAGTGAACGAACCTTTTTTTTTTTTTTTTTTTTTTTTTAGAACTATTGACCATCTGTCCCCGTGATAGGAACATGCTTACACTTTTTTTCCGTTGAAAGTGAAATAAATAGCCACAGGTCATTTCCTCTGTTGAGTACCAGTTATACAAACGTCCTCTCGGTGCATTCTCGATGGCTATTCCACAACGCTAAGTGGGCCTTCAAAAAATGTGAAAACAAAACGTGTGCTGGATAAAATTAAATTACTAAAATTATTTTTATTTTTCAGAGGTCCACCTCTCTTATCGATCAAATAAAGGGGGGAGTTACGAATACGTAGCGTTTCACGATCGAAGTATATCAACATACTACATCATAAGAGAGTCCTTAAATACATATTTTAGCCTTTTGAATAACGCGGTTTTGGTTCACGTCAATTGCACTTTATTTATACTTGCAAATGTGACCTCGTTGAGTTAACTTCTCTCTAAAACCCCTTACACCTTAGCATCAATATTCATTTTCTCTACACTGTTCCCTCTTCACATACCCTATGGTAATGAAAAGGAGAATTTGTTGGACAATCAAGAGCTTCTTAGATTGGTGATCATTTCCATTAATCTCATGACCTTTACAATTGATTCAAAGACAGTACTGTTGAGAGAAATTAGAAGCTAACCAATGTTAGGCGTTTAAAGGCTAAAAGCCTTCTTATTGTAGTCTTCGAGATAGATTTCTGTCAGTGCAGAGACAGGATGAGTTCATCATCTCCAGCCTCTAGGCATTAGGTACTCTGTAATGTGTAAACGCAATTTTCTACAGTGTTAAAGGTGAAAGATGGCTCACTGACTAAGTTCTAGAATCTCATAATTACTTCATTATCTGTTGCACATTTCAATTTTTGTCATTTTTGGCTCGTTTCTGACGGGAGCCCAACACTATTGATAGGCATTTGTTCCTGAATATTACAAAAAAAATAATGGTGATATCACTTCCCATAATTGCTAATTCCAGGTTTGAATACGATTTTGCTCTGTGAGAAAATCCTCTCTGAGAGATTGAAGGCAAAATAATTAATATAATTAGTAGAAAGGATATGGATAGCCGTACTTCGTTTGTGGTTCTCTTCAGTATTATCTTCAATGTACAGGTTATACTCCAAATGCAAAAGCAGACCTGGGTCTATAAACAAAGCAATATTTCTTAGTTTACAAAAGTGCAGAGTCCAGTTTTATATTGCGTTTCTCTAAGCTTAATGAATAAGATTGATGGCCATACTACCCATGGCTATACTACTCCGTCAAGGAAAATACTGAAGTAGAGCAATAGAAGGCGTTTTAACAATGGTTCAAGTTCGGTACGCTTGGACGTGCGTCAAGAAAGCTGGGTCGAGCACGCAAGCTTAGGCCTAGAGGTACACGAACTCGAGGCTTACAAGTAAAAATCCTATGAGGACTATGATCAGACCCCAAACCACAATAGGAGGGGTTTTGAGAACCAAGCTACCAAAATATTCAACTCCTCCCACTATTTGCCAAGTTAAAGTTTACATTTAGTGGAAACTAAAATCAGTCTCACCAGGCTCTGCAATTCTCGTATGTACCAGCCCCCTGCTGACTTTGATGGCTTCCTTTAGATGCACAAAAAAATCGCATGCGAAATGTTAGTGTCTGCCTCTTTTGGCATTGAGAAAAGGGAAATAAGATAAAGTAAAGAGAAAAGAAAAAAACTGCTAGTTCTTTGCCAAAGGCAATAAGGCACTGGCTAGGAGAGAAAACTGCTCAAACCCTGTGTGAAATTCAGTAGAAGTCAAGCCAAGTTAGAACTATTACGAATCGCTGCTACTGCTAGTAGTTACAGGGAAGACACACAAAGACCACTCACGCCACAGTTTTTAGCCACACCCCTAGAATTAGCTGCTGCTAATGCTAGTCGTTACAAGAAAGGCACACAAAGACAACTTACGCTTAAGTTTTGTGCCACACCCCTGGAATTAGTTCAAAAGGACCCAAATCGCTCTTTCTGATAATCCTGTCCATGCATACCCTGATGATGGCCAGCATCAAAGAGCCCCCTTCCGCTCTTTGTCCTTAGTAACCTGACCCGTAGAGAAAAGGATTCAAACTAGGCTCTCGGACAGAAATAGCAGTCGAAGACTGACGACAGTCGGGTTACCCACCTCCCCCCATACCAGTATTTATCATCAGTCATCGCTGTCTTTCTAGATTTCACGCATTAGACGAGAGCTAAAGCTAAGTAGCCCCTAATTTGGAAAAAACAGTGTCCAGGCCTTTGATCCAGTATTACCTTGAAAGATGCTCTTCCATTTCCTTGCCTTGACCACCCAGTTTAAAAAAATCCAGCCGGACATAAATTGCATGTACCACACAGGTGCATAGTGCTTTTTGCACGCACTGATTGGATAAACCGGGGGTGATAAGCAGCACTTTTGATCTCTAAGCAGCTGAAGGGACACGATTTTTCGTCAAGAGTTTTGTTTGCGACCATTTCTTGTTATTTTGATAGAAATAAAGATATTTCTTTGGTTCTCATGTGGTATACACAATCATTTACCTTCGAGTCGGTTTTAAGTGGTGGATGGTTATCGAGCCGCGGCTATGCACTTCCACTTCGGTGTAATTGTTAAATATCATGGAATGAGAGAGTGGCAAAAATCAGAAGTAGCATTAAATCTACGATATACTAGTGCTACACTTTTTTGAACGAAAATCTCCAATTTAGTGTAGCTTACAAATTGGTAAAAAAAGCTAGATTCATTTGTCTTACTCGAGCTGTTACTTCAACAAGAACAGCTCATGGTCTTTTGTTTCGTTTCGTTTCGGGGTAAATTTACTAATGCGAATGCGACACATTTTCCACATTCCTCTTTTTAATTTTTAGCATTTTGTTTAGGACATTTGGCTGTAAGCCGTGTTTGCATCATTCGTATTACCTACATAATCTATTATAATGTTTCTATTTATACAGATGAGGAGAAGTTATTTTCGAGACAAATCCTTTGTCCACAGTCTCTTAATTCCCTTAACTCTTCATCTACTATGCACGCATATTACGTTGTATTGCATTTGCGTTTCGTCTGTTTTTCAACAACCAGTGTTCCTGGTTTTGGTTTTAAACAACTCTAATACACTTGATAGGTATAAAGAACGATCATTGCAGTATGATGTTATTACAGTATACCTATGAACTCAGTATTTCATAACTTGAACATACGATGGAACGGTTCGAAGAACCTTAGAGGAAACTACACATCGTTGTGTAGTCATATGACTTTAAATTAAAACTCCACGCTTTTAGGTACAGACCGGTTGTATGCATATTAGTTTTCAGAGCCCGGTGAAATTTGTAGGAACGAAAAGCGCATGGCTTTAACAGTCAAGGCCGGTTTGCTGAAAACAAGATTAGACTAACCCAGGACTAGAGCACGTTTCATAAAGTTCACTAACTTTGATGACAGTCTAAACGTAGATACTTTGTTTCCCTTAGTTTTTCCTAATTGTCAGACAGACCTCAAATTGTCAGCACAACCAAACGTTTTTATGCAACAGAGCAAAAATCAAGGTTTAATTTTAATCCTGGATAAGCGCTAACCGCCTTTCAAATAACCGGCCCGAAGATTCGAGTAAACGTGACTAAGCAAAGAATTAGCACAAAAAGACAGCACAAAAGATACAGATTTTAGACATTATACCCCATTCACACTAGCAAAACATGATTAGTAAAACCGGGTTTAACTGAATGAAAATCAGAAGCAGAGAAAAGAAAACTGAATTTTCCATAGTTTACAGGTAGTCACTAACTTTTACTTTCAAAGTGCCAACTTTGAAGTCGATGAACATCGGGTTTTGCAGCTTCTATGAAGAACACAATTTTTAACCGCGTTTAACGAAAAAAACTTAAAAAGAGGCTTAAGCTTTCGTGTGAATGGGGTCTAATAAGGCTAAATATCTTTAGTAAGGTTTACAGCGAAAAAGATACTGATTTTATACAGATAATAAGCTAGCGATTACAGAATTACCTCTCCTATTCAACTTTTTCTTAAGCCTAAGATTTAGTCTGGATTCCCTATTCAACTCCTTCACTGCTTAACGTTTTAAAAATTATAAATATATATTGCAGTATTACTAGGATAATTAATAAAGCCTATTTGTTCGGCTTAGTGTCGCATCCTCGTCAAGGTGACGTTTGCTCCTGAAACCTTGTTTGAAATCTAAGTCTGACCACTTTTTCAGATTGTAAAGAGGAACCACACCGTGCGAAAATTATCTTATCTTAAATTATCAAATGTGCTAAAAATTTAACCAAGGACGAAGGCCGCTATACTATAAACAACTCAGTTATTTGCCCGCACACTAATTAAATGGCGGAAATACAACCCACTTTCGCAAACAGCTTCTGCTCTGGGTATGGGTATCGCAGTAATCCGTCTTTTGAGTCAGTATTGGTAAGCGGTCACGTAGCTAAGCAATACTTAGGATAGCGGCGTCCGTGGCCGTTTTGTAGCACACTTCAAGTCAATTTTCAAACGGTAGAGTTACTCATTTAAATCTCAAATAGCAGTCAGTGTCAAAATTCCGTGTATTTTTCCCACTAAAGAAGAAGAATATTGTATGTTTCTAGAGCATTCTTCTCCTTTAGATGATGACTTTAAGAAGCAAAATTCCTTTGAACTTTATTTCCCACCAGGAGCAATAAATAAATATACAAAAGCTCCCGTGAGGTGTTGTTCGATGTTAATAATGGATACTAAAAAAAACAATCCATTGTCGCCTTAATAGCTAGACTTAAAATTTCAAAGAAAAAAAAACTATAAAATTACTTGCTTATAATCTAACCCTTCCTCTCTCAGTATCCGATATAGTGAGACGTTTTGTGTTCTGTGGTCCTTCACCTCAGTGCTTTCTTTTGATGCAGTGGAATCTCTGCTCACAACCATTTGATGCGCCTTCGCACTCGTACAAACTCCGACACTAAGCTAAAAGCATTTTTTTTCACCGCCATGAATTTGACTTTTGGTAAGCGTAAAGAAGCGAAAAGGTTAAGAAACAAAACAAGCCCTATATCTTACCAACTGAACGTTGTAAATGCAGCGAAATTCAAAAGAAAATTTTGTCTTTTTAAATTAATTACAAGGCGATAAAAATGTGCCTACTCTATGCTCTCTTTAAAAAGCTTTTAAGATTTTACAATTACTTGATATATTTCTGCATTATGGTGAATTTAATTACAATGTGCAAATCACTGTCTACACAACAGAAACTCGCCTGTTTTTGTTGCTGTCAGATTTCGGGACTGGCAAAATCCCCGGTTTAATTGAAACGTAACCAACAATCGCACTACTATCTTCTTTAGCTGCTACTCGAAGACATACCTAAGGAGGTTTCAGGGTGAACTCAACTTCACCTGAAAGTTTTTTGTCACTATTGCAGAGGTGAAGATTGTTCTGCAATACAACAATTTGCACTTCAGACCTAAGTTCGCCCTTTATCCCGTGAATATTTCATAAAACTAGTTGGCCTACTACTTAACTGTACAGCCGTTGGTTGTAATGGCGTCGCGGCCGTTGTTGTAGAGTTTACTTTAGCTGAGGCTGTTCGGGTATTAAACTTCAGCCATCGCTTGAATTCTCGCCACTTCTTCATCGACACATAGATCTTCTCTACCTGCTTTTTACGATATAAATCTATTCCTTCAAGTTTGCCGCCTTTTCTCCAGTATTTTCTTCCTCTGAGGAGCTTGATGTTTGATGCTCGTTCTATGAACTGCACGGCCTTGACTCCTCCTTTTTCTGTGCTCAGCACCGGTCTCGGTCGTCCTCTTCTGCTGAAGGCGATGAGACTCTTGTTATACCTTACAGAGGTGAATTCGGTGTAAGCGTTATCAGCCACACGGTCTGTAAATTCGCAGTTGTCCTTCCATTTGCCTCTTTTCTGTTGAGGGATATTCAACAAACGTTTGTTGTTATTTAGTGATGAGTATTATGGAACTCTTTATATGAAGGGTAGCTGGTCTTTAGGGAAGCCGTAAAGCCGCCAGAGGAGTTGAAAACAATCGGCCTGGCTTGTTCAGAGACCAGCAAGGTTCGTATAATGCATACATGTATTAGACTGTAAAGCGTTCACATGTAAAGTCTGAGAGGAGATGAATCATTGCCTTGTTATCATTAGGAACAAGTATCCAGTTAAAACTTCTTCAGTCGTAAATAGATATATCGTAACTTCCCATACAATTGGTCTAGTAGTAAGCAAGTTTTCAAAACAAAATAGTTGCTAGCACAAGACGAGAAGAAGTTCAATACTTATATAGGCAACAATTCAGAAAGGTAAATGACGACACATGGTCATCTCATTATATAAATAGAAGAATCAAGTAATACATGCAAACTTGCATTAGATGTACCGATTATCTGTCTGTAAATGTTTACCTTGTTAAACTTCTAGAAAACGTTTTTGTTTTCATGAAAGTAACCTCGGAAACATAACAGAATGGCACAGACAATGACAAGAGCTGTTGTTTCGTGTAGTAAGGTAATAAGTTTGTCGACTTGCCACTTCCTCAGATGAAGCCACCCAAAAAATTCTATCATTCTTTTCAAAGTAAGTTACCAGTTTCAGGCGACACATTATTCTAAATTGTGCTATTTCCTTTGGTAAACTATCATCCTTGGCAAACCCTCCCACGCACTTACAACTAAACCGAGATCGGCGGCATCGTAAGACACATCAGAAAGATTAACTTGTACAGTGCGGAAGATATTGCGGTACAGACACAACGCGTTTGAACTTTCCGCGTGGTTCTTTCATTGCATTATGCGGAGCAGCAGGCTTATTTGAATGTGCTGGTTTTCTGTCCTTTTATAGTTAGCTCTACATGCTGTTTATGTGGGCAAACGCGCCAAGCGTCAAACTGACATCGTCTGTGTCATGTTGTGTTTTTCTATAAAGTGCACGAATTTGTTCAAAGCTAGAGCTTTGAAAACTTGTCCGCGTTATACGTGGTAATACAGAATGATAATAACGTCATGAAAATAGCTGAAAAACTTGGCTCAGTCAATATTTGTTACGGTCTATTATCCTACAACAAAAAAAGACTTTCGAACACGGCTAAGAAACGAACTAAGACCGGTCAAGTCTTAAAAAGACTGTTGTGCTGGCAAATGTAACATGCTAAAACGATTTTAGGAGACATTTTTTCTTACTGATTGATTGATTTTCCTTCTTTGCCTCATTTCTGACAGTTTGAGAACACTTATCCGATTTTGTCCTCTAAGCAATTTTCTAGTTAATTCCATTGGGCGGACCAGTAGCATTTCTTTAGTATACTCATCGGCAACTTTCTAATTTCCACAGTGATTTGTATCCTAAGCAATTTTTAAGACAAATGCTTGCAGGCTTTGAGTAAATGTCCAACGCATTGCCTCTGAAGAATACTTTTTTTAAAGAGATTCAGTCACGTAATCTTTATTGGATACTTCAATTAAGCTAACATTAATCAAGCCTTATCGGGAAGACGATCGGATAAAGTGAGCGGTTGAAAACACAAGGCATGCAGTCAATGTGAAGACAAATTGCATGGCAGGGATGACCTTGCACAGATTATTTTTATCAAGATAAAATTGCGTATGAGGTCTCAAGCATTTGCTTACATGCGTCACCGGGGTTTTATTTACGGCATGAAGATATTAAGCTGTTAGCTCGATAACATTCCATTTTGAAACCCTACAATCAGTACATAGGCGTGCACCTATCCGGCATTTATAGCATTCCTTGCAAATGTGTCACTATGGCTGCAAAACCGCATGTAATCAACACTTGGTAGACCTCAAAAGGTGTTACACGGCACTCTTTGGTGAGATCAACACATTTGATGTCTCATACAAGAAGAGTTACCGACTTAACACGTAAGCTGAAGTGGTTCAGAAAGCTCATCAGAGCATTACGGTATTTTTTAAACTAATCAGTTTTCTCTTGAACGCTTTTGAAAGATGTTCGCGTGGAGGAAGGAAATCATGATAAAAAGGACTACCGATTGTTCTTGTAACTAATGAATTAAATTATTTTTAGTCTGAATCAATTAGTGGAAAGATCAGCTGATCAGTGACAGTGAAAAGGAACCTTTTTTGTCCCTTATTCGAAAAACATTTCTTTGAAAGCAGAGAAGGACTGATTAGGATGAAATAGTCCTTCTGACAATTACACCTGATATGTATAAGAGACAAATTCTTAAAGATTACCTCTCTTGTTGTACGGAAAACTATGACTGTTTTTTCGTAAAAAAGAAAAACATGAAACAAAAATAGACTTAATCACGTAATTACAATAGCTATTCTAAGCAGGTTCCGGTCCTAAGTAACGTTGCGAGCAAATATGACAATCAAGGTGCTTGCCGCCCAACTGTTAGTCAGTGATACTTGTTTAACACTGTCTAATACTTTTCCACTTACCCTTGCCCTAAGTCGCCCTTTCTTGTCCACGCAGAGATAGAAATTGGAAACTGAGCCTTTAATACGAACTCGTCCAAAATTGACTGATTCGATGACCAACTTGGCTGCGATGAAAAAATTGTAAAAGTTTAGGAAGGGTCAGGAAAAGGTAGGGGAGGGAAGCGGTTAATCGAGTTTAGTTAGTAACAAGTACACTGTATGTGGGTAGAATACCGATAGAGTGGGTATGCAGAAGTTGCATGTTTTGATAGTGTGACTATGTAAAGGAAAGAGATGGCTTGTAAAACTGTCAGAGGTACTTTAGAAAAAAATGTTTGACTACAATGATATTCTATAGATAACTTTTTAAAAAAACTGAAGTACAAAGATGGCCTCAGTATATTTAGACGTGATCGAATTATATGTTTGATCGATGACTGTCTCAGAGGTTTTTTTTTTAACCAGAGAAGGGCGACATTTCTATTTCTGTGGAGCGACTTGAATACCAGATGCATTAAGTCTCTAGAATTTTCAAAAACGTCGTAAAATTGTTTGAACTCTCAGGGAGATCAAACAGTGTAGACACCAAATTGCGGTTTTCTGAAGTTCTGCCTCCTCGCACCGCAACAAAACAAAATGGCAGCTATGCAAACCCAACTATCCATTCCTCTTTGTTGTTTACTTTACCGATGAAAGGTTCGAATTAGAATGTTACAGTCGATAACTCGAGACTGTCGAACGTGTTAAAATATAGTCATGTATCTGGTCGAGTAGGTCACTTTAAAGGCGAAACTGGACATTTTCTCTTTGTTTATTTTTGTCGCTAGACCAACGGTCGCTTGGTAGCAATTATAATGCTGTGGCAGTAATTATTAAAAGCGCCTTCGTGTGATGCAAAACTGTTTGTTACCTGTCGCGAAATCTCTTTCATACAATTAACGAAAAGAGGATTAAGTATTTGAAAACGGGTTCTCAAAACGCAACAATAAACCTACCACGGCGATTCGTTGGTCTGTCAACTATAAGCGCACTTCAAGGATGTTGATAAATCACACATATTTTTCAACAAAAAGTTGCAGTTTAAGAGGTCTTCCTTTGCAAATGGGTTTGCTCAATTATTGACAGATTCTTGGACTTCTTTTCCTTTCACACTTATGTAAACAAAGCTCTCATAGCTTGGCAATCAAATAAGTTTGTGTCAAACACTATTGAGACTCTTGAATTCTTGACGAGGTACTGTGGAAAGGAGTAACCCGAGCTATGTCAAAAGGGCGACGAGACTTTTTTATCACGCACTTTTGGCTCGTCTGTCGAAAGAACAAGTACTCCTGTGGGTAAGGTTTAAAATAACTTTTTTAATTTGGGATTTCTTTCAAAGAACCTGCATTTGTACTAATAATAGCTACAATTAACCTTTCTGCCTTCAAAATACCCTGTATTATTTAGAAAGAATGCGAAAAATTTATGATTTTCTGAAACTATTGACAAGCATGTGATCATAGTTTTGATTTTCGCTGCATTCACTAACGTAAACGTAACTTCAAGTTGGAGAAAGAAACGAATAAACAAGCCTTCTTGTGGTTTGATAATACAGAGTTCGAGAGAGAAAAACCATTTAAATGCCATGCACTCCCGCTTTAGTACACAGAAAAAAGCAAAGTAGTCCTAACTTTGGGCTTCGCACAAAATTTTGAAAATGCTCCAAAGATTATTTCAAAAATTCCCGCAAAACATAACAGGCATCAAAACAGTCAACTCGTTTCAAAGATGAGGAAAAGAAAACTTCAATGTTCAAGAAGAGAAGTGTAAAAGCGACATTTTTACCGTTAAAACCTGTCAAACTGAGAAACAAAAGTGTAAGAGGCCGCTTTCACAATAAGCATTAAGCTTAAGGCAACAGACAAGTAATAACCGCCAGAGTAAACAAGCTTTTACAATATTAATTATACAGTAACAAAGCAATTTTCGAGTTAGTACCGTATTTGTCGCCGTCTTCACCGATGGCGTCTACGCTTCTATCTGGATTGATTCTAACATGGCGGCCGCTATTCCTTGAGTACAACTGAATGAATCTCCGAAAAGCTACGCTATTTGTGTCACTCTTGGCCTTCTGTTCCAAATAATGTTGGTCATAAACCTTTTTTTCTTCCGGTTTCTAAGAAGAAAATACATGAAAGAACGACAAACTGCGTGAGTTAAATACACGATGCAATTCTGTTTAAATTTGGTTCTTGCAAGAATCACGATCAGTCTCGATTACCTGATTAACACCGCTCTCTTCAGCAAGTCCATCCGGCAGTAATGAACTGAAACAAAAAAATGACGTCAATGTAGGATTTACTTGGTTGTTAAAGCACAGAAACCGGTCTTTAGTACTTAGCCAAGTGAAAAATTATTGATGATACTTCAGGAAGACGCAATCATTTATATTGGAAGCACTGAATTGTAATCTCATTCGATCTCATTTTCATAGGAAGCCTCGATTCGCTGGCCTTTCAAAGCCTTGAATTGGGACAATTAGCAAATTACTTACTGTAGCGTGAGAAGCGTTAATACCCGAAGCAGATTCACCCCCAAGGCCATACTGCACTAAACTGAATGCCAGTGGCCTGCCGCGAACCTTTTATCATGCGTCACGGCTACACCCGTTACGTCAACCGGCAAATCAGGCGCGCGCCTTTGTGGGAAATTAAAAGCGAAATCGGCCGCAAAGAACAATTAGGAAGTGTTAACGGAAATGTAGGACAAGTGTAACCGACTCCTTCTCAGCGAAGGAAGGAACCTAGTCAGTGGTCTATCCAACACGACCTCAAGAAAACATTGCAAAGTACAATCTGAGATGTAGGAGGAGACATAAGTCTCGGCCATTAATAAGGTGTGCCCCCTAGTACTTGCTAGGAACAATTAACTGTAAATGTAATTAAGATGCTTATCACAATCTTTTATCGTCGGCCGCTGGGTGACCTTTCTAGGTGTCAATCTAAACTTTTCACGCCTTAATTAAATTTTAAATGCTGAGAATTGTTGCTCATTGAGTGAAATTTGATGCCACAGGTGTTTAGACACAAGTCTCTTGAGCGAGCGATTTTTTTCAGACGACAGCGATCAAAGGGGTGCGGGTGCTAAAACGCACGCTCAGAGTAAATTATTCTGTTGCCCATTAAAAGGTGCAGCGGCAACTTAAATGGTTCGTGAGAATAACACATCGATTAAGTCGTACCTGTTATTGGACTTAAAGAACAATATGTCAATAAAAGTGTCTGAAAGCCACCGACTTACTTCATTTAATAACTTGAAAAAAGAAACGGATGTTTGGAAGATTAATTGGCCGTGAGATATCATGAAGATTTTCGAGCCTTGATTATACAGCCATGTCGAGTTCACGAGTTGGTTTTTTCTGCGCATAGCAAAGGATGTGAAAAATGTTCTTGCACTCATATCTAGCCACAGGTTTAGATTTTGTCGGATGTAGCCCCATTAACGTTTGTTCTAAAACAATTTAGAAGCGCGAACTGTAGTCAACCTGCTACTGAGCTGAAATACGAGATCGAGGATTAGGTGGAGTAAGATAATAGTTAGAGTAAATTAACACAGATAATAAAAATGTCCAAATTATTGGCTAATATACAGTGTGAACCAAACAACCAACAGAATCCCACATTATTGCTGTGTTACAGCTCATCAAGGTATGTCAACAAAATACCAAACAAACTTATATCCCTTTTTTGTCTTATCGAAAGCTGATATCATCTGCGCGCACGTGTCGCGGCTAACATTCCTCAGATAGAAAACCTTCCTACTAATTTTCCATGGAAAATTCTTGAATAGGCTACTCTAATGTGACAGTTTACAATTTTGTCAGTGACTAGAAATGATAGTTTCGGAAAGCGGAGCATTAAAAATCTCCGGGCGGCTTCTCTTATGAGTTCTAAAAAGGTGACAATCTCTATTTCCTTCCAGGCACTTGGAGAGCTCCTTGTAACCGGCCGAAAAATCTTAAACCTGTACAAAACACCTTGAAGAATTTCCCCTAAATAGAAATGTTTCTAAGGGGGCTGTTTATAAGTTCTCTCGGCAAGTGGTGTCCGCCACAGAGAACCGCGTAGTATACCAAAGGAAACCACTCCAAAGTAATGACGTTACAAGGAAGTTTGACAAATTTCAAGTTGACCATGGATGATGTCCACAAGTCATTTGTTAAGACTTTAATCTGTGCGTCGTTATTACTTTAATTGAGTTGGATGATTGCTGTGTTCTTTAAACTCAAGGTAACGGACGGTTTGGCTCACGAAGATCACAGGATCTTGTTGAGAGTGTAGATAAAGCGGTAAAACATGGCAAAAAAATTAATTGGATATTAAGTGGCCAGGGTTTTCATCTCAGTGAAGCTATAACCTAAGAAAAGGGCGTGAGCTGTTATCTTGGAAGAAATTTTAATCTTGAAACTTGATTTTAAAAGCTTATCTTCGAAAAAATATCTTTTGCAATCGATCTCGTTGCATAAATAATTGAGAATTTACAGGGCTCCTTTTCTCTCCTAGATCCATCGGCTCCACGAAATCTTTCCATACTGAACAAAGGCATTATATTATCTGAGAGACGGTACATCAACAGAGGATACAGGATAGGCAGGAGGTTGTTTTGGTGTCTAGTATGCTTGTCCCTTTCGTACTGGAGAAATTGCTTTGAAATTAGATACTAGTATCTGTCTCCCTGGTTTAGCGGTCATATTTCTGGGTCTCTGGAAAGAGAAGTGTGGCAAAGAGAAACCGTCTTCTTTTTATCAATGGACATAAAGAAGAGTACAAATTCAGAGAAAGTTATATCCCTCAAGTTCCTTTTAAAGGCGCAGTGTTACATACAGACGTTCTTCCTTTAACGATATTTGTAACAATGGAGTACATTTCCGATCCCTTAGAGTTCATTTTGAGTTGACGGAACTCACGGTTTTTTTCTCGGACTTCAGCTGATTCCAGTCATTTAGCTCGTCAAATAGAAGGCGTATTTCGAGATTTCCGCTCTGGTTAGTGAGCTATCACCGGTTACCACATATCGATGACTTGATTGATATGGGAGATTTCCGATAGGGTTAGAGGGTAGCTCGTCGTCTAAGGACGTACACGATTTTCATCGTAAACTATCGTATGTTTTCTTGGCAAAATTCTCTCTCAATCCATCGAAAAAGCTCACAAGAGATCGTGTAATAAAAGGACTTTCTGAATATACTACGTTCAGCCTCAAGGTCAATTGATACATGGTGTAAGATTGTTAGATGACAATCCATATTAATTACTCGCATTTTGATTTCACAGCAGGAACCCATTGTGCTTCTTGGAGGGTCAATTGCGCAGTTTTATGCTAGAAAAAACTTGTTTCTTCGGCAGACTTTGGGCGCCGAACTCTAAGTGTAGTTTGAGCTGCGACGTATATAGTTACATGGGAATTCTTTTGCGATTAAATGAAATCGTTACATAATTCACAGTCGTTTCTGAGGTCCCCTTGGAGTTCATATTGCAAAGGGATTTAGGCAAAGTTACAAATCCTTTTGATTAGTTTAGATTTCTTAGGCTAAGAGATACCAATGATTTGTTAAAATGAGTGCCAGTCTTTTGAAACAAGGATACCATTTCTCATACTGGCTATTAATATGAAGTTCCTGCCGTCACATTTCAATGTTTTAAATGGGTAAACAACTGTAAAGAGTTTGGGTGAAAATTTAATTCAGAGAAATCTAAGTTTTGTGCCAATTTAGGATGCACATCTGAACAGATTTCCCATAAAAAATTGTGAACCAGATGATTTTTTAAAAAACAATGATGGCAGCATTGTGGGGGCGTGCTGTGCTTTTGGCTTGCAGTCTGCATGACCATATAACATAATACTTTGGTAACAAAGACCATAGGAGACAGACACTGCTGAAAACTGATAAAATAGCTGTCGCGAATAAGCAGCTGATAAGTTCATTCAAAAGCTTTCATCTCTCGATAAAGATACATAAATAAATACAAATCCACATTGTTTATAATGGACACTAGAAAAATGTGGGAGGACCTTGGTTCGACGCTATTCTGGTGAATCTTTTTCTCTTGTGAATCTTTTTCTCCTGAATCTTTACTGGGATCTCGAAATCTTTCTGGATGGAGTCAGACTCCCTTAAATGTCACTTATAACTACAAAGTTTTTTATGAGATTGAGCTGAATTGTTCTCCTTGTTTGTGAGAACAAGATCTTATCATTTTATGATCCTTGAAGGAGGACTACTTATTTGAATTGTATGAATTTATAATACTCTTTTTCAAGTACGCCCGTTAGCTAAAGAAAAAACCGAAAACAAAACAAACTCTTTTGGAAATTTCATTGCAAAACCACAAAGGGAAAGTTTGAATTACTTTTCCAATCCAGATAATTCCACTAAAATGTTATGAAAAAAGTATTTTTGAACGAGCAAAATCATTCATCTATTGGAATCTATTAACATCGGGATTCAACAATACGGGAAATTTACATCATTAAGACCGTGCATGAGGCGGGACACCTGTTCCTGACTGGAGCCAGGATTCTACGGAGCTGACAATCGTTTTCATTACAAATTAGCCAAAGATAAGGAACATTTGACTGTGTTGAAGGAATTCCCAGGCGTGTTTGGAGAATTCCCTTTGCGCACGAACCATGTTATTATTGGAAAGTGGCCAAAGATGATTGGCGACAATGGATTTCAGATGATTTCTTTCTGTCGATTTCACGAATTCCTTAAGAAAAAATTATTGAAGATCAAATAGTTTTAAATCCTTCCTTTTGGGATCTGATGGGGGAATTAGCCAGACCTCCACTTCAACTGTGATCGATCTTTTACTGATCCTTTACGGTTGTCTGTGTTGATTTAATCGAGTTAATAAGTCTGAAGAAGCAACTGCATTTCAAGACAGAGAAAATCCATCGGAGCAAAATTGGTAAAGGTGGTCCGACTGTCGTTAAGATCATAAAACCTTTAATAGTATTAAAGAATTTACAGATAGCTTTAAAATTCTTCACAGTGTCTTCTCTGTCCAAAGGAGATTACACAGACCGTCACAAAGATGACCAGGTCTGAGTAGTTTGAATTACATTGAACGCTCGCTAAATTTCAAGTAGACAATCGGCTAAGGCAGAACTCGTTGAACTTCCCGTATGTATGTAAAAGAGGGGTTCATTTCATCTCGTTTGACGCATTTCCGTGTGTTTGACTCAATTTTAGAGGGATGAGTGGAAGAACTCGAGCATCACTCGACAAGGGTACTACCTTGAAGACAATTATAGACTGTACTAAAAAAAACATGCTTGAATTCTAGGGGATTACACCAGGATAAATTGCGAGCGGAAAGCTCCTCTTGGGCCAAATAATTTCAAAACCAGAAAAAAACACATCAATATTTATGCGCACCGCATTTAGCACTGTACGTGAGCTAAGAGCTGTTATCAGGCCAACAACTTCCTCTCTCGACTGCAGACATATTCATTTTGCTCTATAAAGTATAAATAATATTGCCAGTTTCCTATTGCACCTGTAAATAGAATTTCGGCTACGAATATCTTCCTCTATAAAGTTCGTGCCGTCACGTTTCAGTCGGAGACCTCAGTTATTTTGCGGTCAGCTAGGTATTTCTTCATGAGTTTGCCGGCCGGCTGTGAGCTGAACAAAGATGAAATAAGGCTATTCTTGAACCATTTCGCAATCCTTTGATTGAGGTATTTGTTCCTTACCAATGACTTAGTGATTTTTCAACTGAACCTATTTTCAGGTTACTACTTGGTTGAGCCGTTATCATGACTAATCGAAAAGACGCCAGATTAACTAGAGGAATTAGTCTAGGCTGTTACATGCACCACAAACATTAAGAGTACCTTTAAATATGTGTCAATGAAACAACGACTCCTTGTTTCAAGGAAGGAATAAAAGCTGAATAGTACCTTAACGTGGCTTATTTTTGAATTCCCTTAGCTTCGATGAGAAACGCTGGACTACGTAACTGAATTACGAAGCGCTTACGTATTTCAGTTACGTGATGTTGGTGGCCCTTTCCGTGTGTTTTTTTTTTTCTCCACTTAGAGGCATAAATCCTTTATCCTGACTATTACGAATCAACGACTTTCACTGATAAGACATTAATGCCCAAATGATCATGATTTATATGCCATGGACGTGGATGAAGAAAACATAAATAGACGTTCATGCAATTAAAGTTTTTTTTATAGTCGAGTCACTGTCAAATGGTGGCTGACTAATCGGATAATTGTCGCGAAAGATTATTCACCTTTGCGCGAGAGGCCATTGGTGTTATGGCCGGCCAAACTCTGAGAGGCCTTAAATATCTACGTAGGTGTCAATAAACGTGCCGGATCGGTAAAGAGCACTTTACAAGGACCTAGTTTAAGAATAACATCAAGTTTTCGTGGTATCGAAATACAGTTGATGCCACTTGAGAAAACTCAAATCTGAAACGAGTTGAGAATCAGAGAAAATATATAACTGCGTATATAAACCAGTTATAAGCCAACATCAGAGGCTGCCGCGTTCATTAAGATAAAACATAGTGGTATAAATCTATAATTTCCTGAGCAATTTTGTTCAGGGGGCATGTCGTGTCCGCCCGTCCTCTCAGAATTGCGTTGCTAGGTTACAAAGATTTATTGCATTACTCAGACATTTTATTCTTGATCAGTTTGGATTCTTTCTTAAATTAGTTGCAAGATCGCTTTTGGCTTCATAAGATATACAATTATAAATAAAACCGCTAAGTTAATAACTGTGATTTCGATATCATGTTGACTGATGTTTCTTTATCTTGGTATGCACAAGATGTTTACCCGGTTGGGTACTCAGTCATAGCTTCATATCATTTCGATGTGACTCAAAAACAGGCGTACTTGACACGTAGTCCCTAATTTTCCAAACACCGTCTTGACTAAGAAAAGGAAAACATAGGAAAAAAAAACGAAACAGTTTGACCCGTGTTAGGTATATCTTTTAAAAAAACAAAATCTCATTTTCTTAAGCTGATTACTTTGAGGCATGTAAGCCAGGAACACGTACCTTGCATACCTGCAGTTTATACATTAGCAATTTTCAAGAAACATACTTAAAGATGAAGTAAGTAAAAAGAATAATAAATTTCTTAAAATAGCATGATTGCTTTTTCATCCTCATCTTATCAAAGGAAAGCATGTATATCTCCTCTCAGCGGAAATGATATTTCGTCGTCTCTTGTAAATCACTTGGCATAAAATATGATATAATCAAAATATTCTCGTGAATAGGAAAACCCTCTCTTGGATCTACTTCAAATGCTCTGTGGGATAGAAACGATTTAAATCACTATTTTCGTGTCAAGACATCATCAAGTGCTGTAATTCGTGGCGACAAACTAACAAGGTCCTGAGACTAATATGGTTCTGTGAATCGCTTCTGCAGCTTTTTGCGTTAACTGTGGATTCGGAGGAGTTACGAGTATCGTAACTCTAACTAATTTCTCGAGCTCGGCAGGCAACCGTTTATGGAAGTCTGTGTTAAATTTTTATCGTGATATTTTTCGGAATTAAACTCAAGGGGGACCTAATCACTAAGTGTTTTCCACCTCTGAAGTATGTGCAAACTGCGTCACAGGCCATTACGGCGCGTGCAAAAACACTTCCACTGAAAGTTTATTTAAAAATGGCTAAAAAATAAAGGAAAATAACTTTGATGCTTAAATTGCCAGCCTTAAATAGATGAGTGCATGATACACCAGATTGGCTTACTAATGAAATTAACGCCCACTGCTTTTCAGCCGGAAGATGTTGACTTGTTTTGTAAAGCCGGATAAAAAGTAACCTAATTAAAATAAAAGTTTACCATTTAAATCGACTGAAAGCTGGAGAGAGGGAGCAGATTTTACTCCAAATTCTAATCTTGGCTGTTATATAGTTTCTACAATCTTGAGGGCTAACCTTTAAATAGCCCACATGCCTCTGAATCTCTATAAGTTATAGCAGATGCTTGAAACATATTTCATCTACTGACATTTATCCCTAGGTCTGGGTACTGACGATTTAGGTCAGATTATTGCAAGTTATTCTGGCTTTTACGCCCTGAGATGAGATCTTAAATTTAAAGCTGTTATGAAGTCTTGAAATCAGCTTTTTTTTTTCGTTGCAAAACTTAGCGAAACAGACCGACTATTAGCTTGAATGAAGTGCTGTTTAGACAGACGTGGCGTTAACTGTGTTATGCATAATGTTTCGGGTAAGAAATGTTTAGAATTTATTAATCTTTTATATCATTTGCAAAGTGTTTAAGTCACAGGAAAATTTCCGGCTATTATGAATTCATAACGAGACAACGCTTGAACAATCAATCAAATGAAAATTCACTTCTACGATCAGAGAAAAAAAAACCAAAATGCTTCACTTCAAGGCTGAAAGAAGTCTCTAAGGGAACCTTCACTTAGTTTTACATTGTAATCGAACACAATATTCACTTTCAACTTAGGACAGCGTGTTATAAGTTAATTACTTTCTTCGAGGGACTGCATCTGTCGCACAATTATCACTATTTACCACAAGCTTCTGAATCTAGCGTCTTTTGGCATCATAGATTTAATAGCGGAGTAGCTAGGAATAATCAGACTTACAGTTACCGACTTCTGCTTGTAATTTCTATGGACTAAGCTCTTTAATAATGGTTCCTTCTCAAATTACAGCCAAACTGAAACATGCTCTTTAATAATGGTTCCTCCTCAAAATTACAGCCAAACTGAAACATTTCCTCTACGCATATGCAGTCGTCTACTAGTTCTAATTATAGGGGAAAAACTTGGCGCGCTTCAGAGAAAATTGTTTCGTCTTGTTGAATCCCTATTTTGGGCAATTAATTTCAATTCTTCTCAGTCCAAAGTTCGGTTGGAGTTATGGTATTGTCTCTGTATACTTAAGAAATTTCCTTGCTCGACTGACTGGTTCGAGGAGGGGATGTGCATTTATAACTGAGAGAGTTAGGAGCAGTTGCAGGAGTGAATCTTTTCAAGCATTGGTTGCCGAACGCTCCCGCGAAAGTGGAAGCTAGATCATAGGCGCGGGTCAAAGGGCTTTCTCGAAATTACTAAGGTAGTCTGCTTTAGATAGCAGAGATTTAGCGAATTGTACCAACAGTTCACAATAAATGCTACGGAGACTGATTGAAACAAACTTCAAAAGTGGGGAATTTTAAAAATGCGTCATTTTGAAACATTGTGTTTCTACTGTGGAAAGCAAAGGGTTTATACAAATTTCTTCACACAATACCGCTTCTACTAGCATTCTCAGGTATTTTTGAAGGGGTGGCGAGGATAAAACGCCTCAAAATGAAAACACAGAGGTGTGGTCAGGTGAAAACAAACTAGAAGCTGATGTGAACGTCAACGTAAGTATTTCGCTCCGTTTCAGTTAAGGCGAGACGAATACTCTTAAAAACGTTTTTGTTGTTGTGATCGGGGCCGAAATATATATCATGATGACCAAACAAAATGTGACTCTATGGAGTTAAACATAAGTGCAATACCTACCCGAATCAAATTACTAAACGGATTGAATTTGTGACCGATAAATGCTTTAGCAGGATTGAGAACTTGTGTACGTTTTGTTCGAACGGTAAGTTGAATGCCGTAAGTGGTTTCAGAAAAAGTGAAGACCTGATCTTGGGATACTCCTTTTTTTTTAAAATATAATTTCAAGGAGGTATCTTTTAAGGATATACGATATGACGGTGGAGACTCTCTTAAAACCATATGTTTGTTATCGTTGTAAAAACAACGAAGGGTGCAGAAGATATATTCTGACTGATTTGACGTAAAACTATGGACGATGCCACCGCATGTGATATCTATATATGGCTTCTGGGTGTGGCTGAGAACTTCGATAAAGAGAACTTCACATTAGAGTGATAATTTAGGAATAACAGGAAAGATTTTCAAGGCGGAAAATCATCTAAAAGATAATCTCGTGAGAGTAATGTCCTTCTATCGTAAATATGCAATCAGTTTGGAACTATCATCGCCTTTCAGTAATAAAGTGGAAAATCTTTCCAGAAGCTTTGTCTCCTAAAAAGCTGAGCTTGAAAGTGAAATAAGTTTAATACACAAAAAGAGGCATGTCTGTCCTCGATGAGCTCTTTTCCTGACTAATAGGAACAGATAAGTAAGTGATATCTCATGAGGATGACTGAGAGTTTGAAAAGACTGGCAACTGGCACAGATTCGCATTTTTAATTATTTTCATCAGATAATCATGTGCATTGCAGTTTGTATCCAGTAAAGTTTGGGAGGAATAATCAGCCGCTAGCGACAATAAAAAACAAATGACTTACAGGAAGATCATCTTGATCGATAAATTGATGGAAGTGCGTCATCTAACGGGCGGGGTATAACCTAATAACTTACAGCAGATGAGAAAGTACTTCATTAGTTCGTGATTATCACGAAAGCTCGACTGTCCATCGACTCACTCCCAAAACTTCTCGTTGCAATTGAATTGTAACTGAAAGGGCCTTTCATTCTAAAATGGACTATATTTACGGAAAGGAGGAGACACAATACGAAGAAAATAGAATCGATGAATGTGTGTGGTCTTTCGACTTCGCGAGAATTGAAATAACGCCCAATAAATTTACCTGTGTTAATTAACTTCTAAGGTGAAGCCTTTAAGGTTGGTCTTGATCTTTCATCATTGTATCGTTGCGGGTAACAAATTAAGGATTAAAAGCTTTCATGTAAAGAACGTTCTTATTACAAAATTATGGTGTTATGGTTTCTGAAAGCACTGTCCGAGAGAGGTTGTTCCGTTCGAGATTTACCAGTAATCCTGTTGATCCCAGTGCGTAGATCAAAGTTAAAGACTAATGGAGTAGAAATTGAGAGAATGAAGGAAGAATAGAATGTGCTACATTGTCAGTTTCACTAATTTTGGAAAATTTTGCAACAGATTCCGGATATCATGTCAAAAAAACACGCACTACAAAGAAGTTCGCAGGTTTCATCCTCTCTTTTAAGTAAAAAAATGACCCACTCTGTGAAGTGCCTTTCGAGTTTGAATCTATTTTATGGCTGATATGCATGATTTGGGAATGCTTCAAAATATAATTAACTCTCACTATTCGAAATTTCTATAGCTTTTTGAAAAAACGGTCTGCTTCACAATTCTTACCTGTTGGGGAGGGGGATAGATACCTTCTCATTCATTGTGCTTCCGGTACTGGTCAGCGTACGCTGTTTGGACCACCCATGTACCTTTTAAGTACTCTTCTCGATAAGGTAATCATTGATATCCTGGGAAAATTCAATACATAAAAGTTTCCAAAAGTTGATCAATCCCGGCAGACTCATTTTTTCTCACCTGCAGTGAGATTTTTCCATTTACTCACTGAAAGCTATTTATTTTTTTCCCAGCTTATGAAAACCAAGAACGTCTTTTGAAAACGCTTTCAATAGTGGAGTTTTCAAACAATTCGTGAGAAAAACGTTATGTTTCTAGAATAGACAGGAGAAAAAGGAAGGCTTTTGAAGACGGTAACGTGACATTGTCATACAGCGCTGCCTACATCAATGTTTTAAGCGCTCTAGTGTAGAAAATATTCGAAAACGTGGAAGTAAACCGAAACGAAAATGCCAATTACGACGAAAGTATATTGCACCGTTTTGGCTGAGACTAAAACGGATACTTTGAATGGCGCACTACTGTGGTCGAAGTTTAAAAGTCAGTATCAGAAGAGGCTAATTTGCAGTAGGATCATTAGTTTGAAACCACATTGCCGTATTTTCCACAGCTTTTAGAAGAGAATAGCGACAAGTCGACAGTCACACGCGATCATCTGCGAATTTTTCTAACGGCAATTTTAGGTCGAAAGCTCCACATTGTGCTCGCACACAGCTGTATTTGTCCCAGTAAGATAAAAGTTTATGAGCCAATATCCGTTCAGGAGGTTTCGAATTATTTAAGTGAAATCTGATTACCACTTTCAAGAGCAGGTTACAAGTTTAACAGCGAACAAGTTGATGCTTCTGGGATGAATTATCAATCACGAGTGGGATCTGAAATCATTAAACGTATAACCATGTTAACCAAATCAAAATTGAAAGGGACAGTGAAAAAATTACGGGCACAATTTTCAGAAAACGGCTCTGAAACTCGAAAGTAGACATAACGCAAGGTATCCTAAAGGTCAAATTACTTAAACTTTGTTTTTTTTTAAATTTTTCATTAAGCACGTAGTTATACTCAGTTGACTGCAAAGGAAGGAATCTTTTTTATTGCACCGTCAAAACTTGTCCAACATCTTCAAAAACGTAGGAAAGACTACTATTATTACCTAAGAAAACACATTTCGTGCGCGCACACGTGAAGATTTTTCTGTTCTTTAACGTAATTAATAAACTTACTACTGGTAAATAAGCTGTAGTCAACCCTGGAATCCTATAGTCTTATCCAAAAATATCGATCATACTTGAGTGAGTTTTATATCCGCAACAGGAAGCTTATGCTGCCTTGAAATTTTTCAATGGCTTTGCGTGTGGATACCTTGGGCAAACAGCAGGTATTCCGGCCTATGTCCTCAAAAATAGAAATAAATTCAAAGCCAAATTAGCAAGTTGTTTCCCGAAAGTGCTAAGTCTCATCGAAAAGCGAAAATAACTCAGACGGCAAAGGATCGATATGCCTAGTTTTCCCATAGAAAATTTTCCTAAGTGAAATGTTGACACGTTGTTTACATAGTGATGATACAATAACATTCATCTAACGCTCCCCCGTCACGCCCACCTTAAGCAATTCGTGAATGGGATTATTTAGCCCATCTTTTAATGCTGTGACTTTAGGATCTGGCGTTTTGAGCTCAGGATTCAAATCTGAATTTTCGCCTTTAAGCGCTCTAAGGTAAAAGCCTTGTAAAACGTCTCGGCGTTATGTGACAACTCAATTGTTCTATTTCGCTGGTGTTGTTTATTTAAGACACCCAGACATGCCCACCTACCGCAGCTCTAATTGTAAGCGATTACCTTAATTAATTTTGTTATCTGCATATCAAAAATGGTACATACAAACCCTCACCACGTTTTAATGGAACAAAAACGACACAAAATAGAAAGGCAGCTTCCTTGCGGTCGAACTCAGAGGGTATAATTGAAAGAAGATCAAGTATTGTGGGTTTTTGGAATGCTGGACATTTTTATCTCCTATTCGTTGTATTTTTCTCAGTCGGTTTGCAGTGCGTGTTCCCTATTGAGTCAAAATGAGATCAAAGCTTTCGGCGACAGTTAAGTCTGACCTGCTGTTATTTTCTATGTGAGTATGAAGCGGCGATCCATTGGAACTGTATGAGTAATTCTCTATATACTTGGATGCTTTCATATCCAAGGCAAAAAAAACCATCGCAAAGTAGATTCTAGGTATTTATTCGCCTCCGCAAAACCAGTTTAAACGTTCCCTTTGTTTAGGATTTGTTGGATCACCTTCATTCTGGGACGAGGTCAGGAGGTATGAGAATTGAGTTGATTTTGATGCTGTCTTTATTTCGGTGGATACTACTGAAAAGTTTATTGTTAATTATCGTGTCTATAATGCTAACCACAGGCCAACATCTTCAAAGATCATGTTAGGGCGGAGAGGAGAAGAAGCGATACAAGAAGCCTGCCATTTCACCGGGAAACACAACTGTATTCAAGGGCAAGCAGAAGCCACCTTCGCATTAATGGTAAACACATCGACGCAATGGGAAGAGATGGCGATAAATACGGTTGGTAAAGCCTCTGTATCCTTCGAGTTATGAACGGCAGGATCAATATTTCTAGGAAATAAGCTGACAATAAGCGAGTCCTGCAACATTCACTGAATTTATCAACTTAAGGTCTTTGTTCACGCTACGCGCCAACACGCTGTATCTGAAGCAGGTATTTTGCTGTTAAAGTTGTTGCCGTCTTGTCTTAATCGACTTATATTATTGTAATAACATTCGAGGAAAGTTTGAAGGGTTAAGACTGTAATAAAGCTTTTGTTTCTTTTAACTTGTTGCCAATGAATGGCGCCACACGAGTTAAGGAGATTACATCGACCATTAAACTGACTTAAGTATCATGGCAGCGTATAATATCTTGCTTTTCACACATTTTTACAAGAGGCAATTAATCGGATCGTAACTGAGCTATACCATTCGAGTTTCAAACAACTTATCTCTGAAATCTACTTTCATTTTGTGTGTCATCTTTTGATTTTTTCTTAGTCAGTCGTAGGGCTTTGTAGTCTAAGATACAAGGTCATTTTAAAACGAAATGCTCTTAAATTTTCTGTGAGTTTATTCCTACAGTTATGTTTGGTGTGAAAAATACCTTACTCAACCGATTCGCAAGCGCTTAACTGGGATTGATATGGGTTATATTTTAGCAGAGTAATGTTAAAAGTTACTGCTAGCATTAATATTGTAGCAGAAAGTATACACGCGGAGTTTACAGTTTACTTTATGCCTTGATAGAACAGGATACATAACCGGTGATCGTGAACAGTGCACACTGTCAACTGCGAGCCTTATTAGCGGCAAAACGACTAATCCTAACAGAAACATTAAAGTCATCGCATAAGCTAGGAATTTAATCTATTTATGTCCAGTCAGCGATTGTTTGTGCTTTAGCGGCGCCAGGCTTTACTGTTGATAGTTTTATGAGATCCCAATCAAGCCTTTTAGTGCAAGATTGTCGGCCTTGGGGGTCTCGTTACCAATAAAATTTACTTGGTCATCTTTTTCTGAATACAGTTGAGATGGGTCCTCTTGCCGAAAAAGGTGCTTGCCGTAGCTATATTAAAGTGAATTGAATTGACTCAAGCAGGAAAAAGCTAGCAACTTTGGACCGTGAATAGACACGGATTCACTCAGTACAAACTGTGTAGAATGTAAATGATTATAACGTAAAGTCAGCGTGAGAGATTACGAAGAGTTTTATCCCAGGTTGATAAATTGTTACACGCATCATAAATTAAACTTTGCTTAGACACAATATAAAAGTTTCCGAAAGAATTTTCTGAATTTATCTTGTGTAAACAAACAAAACGAGCTGTTTGACGAATTGGAACCTGCCGCTAACCGGTCTCTGCTCTCTTTTCCTTGACAGCCAAGCTGGTCATCGAGTCAGACAATTTTGGACGGGTGCGGATTCGTGGAGCGCTGACAAATTACTACTTATGCGTCAAACGGAACGCTTCGCTGATCGGAAGAAAGGTAAGGTAGCTCTTATTGCTTATGGTCATTTCATTATTTTATGCGCCAAATGTTTACAGAATACTGTGTATTCTTTGTTAATAGGTAGGATTAAAAGCATGGGAGTAGAGCAAATTTGCATTGAAAACGTTCACAGAAAGGAAATTCCTAAGAATGGCGTATACCAAAATTATTATTCTGGTATTCCAAGAGTGTTTTCTTTAAACCAAGTCAAGTTTGATTAAAAAATCGTTTCCATCCATTCCCAGCAACGTTAACGAATTAACTAGCGTCAATATGTCCGCATGTTTGGACTTGAGTGACACTTTGTCAATATAACCCACGCTTGGGAAAATTCCCTGTATAAAGGACAAAGGAGAGTCAAAGGGATTTCTTGAACACGTCAAAACGTGTATGGCCAGCTGAACTACCAAATTATCTTCTTTACAAATTTTTACTTTCACGGTTTTCATGCAAAACGATTTTTTTTTGTTTTTTTTTTGTCTTACAAAAACGCTATAACTAAACGTTTTTTTTCAGTCAATCTGTCGCCATCCCAGCCTTTTCAGACTGCTTATTTGAAAGAAAATGAGCTAAATTTCGCGTAGTCTGAGGAGATCAGAAAGTGGATAAATTTTTTTTTGTTGAGTAGCTTTGACACGGAGACGCCCAGAGGATTACATCCTTATCAATATCAATTTCCCTGAAAAATTTCTAATCTCACTAAACCAATAAAATAGATGAAAGTCTTTAAACTCAGAAAACCAATTAACTTACTTAATTGACTTTTCCCGTGAAAGAGACTCCAAAAAAGGTAGAATTTATTCCTTTGCTATAGCTGGGACGTGCTTTATACAGAATTCTTTCTACTTCAAACCACTGTTTTTTTAACGTATTGTTGATTGGCATGACTGTCGTACTTTTCTTCAGGTCCTAATTAATCTTAACGATTAAAAAAACGAAGACGAGCTCGACACATCTTGGCTTCGGACCAAAGTTCAGGTTCCAAACTCCTCAGCGACAGATAGACGATCATTCGAGTCTTTTTCACGTGGCTACACGACTGGTCATTTGTGATTCAAGGATGAACTCGAAAGTTGATCACTTCTTATCACAAAAGCCCCATTTAAATAAACCTGTGCTAAGCAGATCACTTCCTCTCTCTCTCTCCCCCCCCCCCCACTTACCCTCCCGTCAGGTCTCGACGTGGCCCACCTTGAGAGTCGGCGTTGAATTACGTGTAATCCAGTGAGACAGAGTAACCAACGAGATACCATTTCTTGCAGGCCACAAAGTCCAAAAGGTGCGTGTTTTACGAGAAGTACGCCGAAAACCATTACACAGAATTTCTTTCAGCTTACAACGAGAGTTGGACAATAGCAGTGTCCAAGAAGGGCAAAATGAGGCCTGGGCACAAGGCACGAAGAGGCCAAAGAAACGCTCAGTTCATTGAACGAGCTTCTAAGATCATTATTCAAACAAAAAATGTCCGCGAGGCGCTCTATCATGGGCTCCGTGACCATATCGAGCAGCTCCTACGTGCCTACAGAGCAAGGGAAGGAGGCGAGAACAAGGAGAAGCCGAGAAAAATGCCACACCCTGGGTACAGTTCAGGGTCGTGGAAACGGAAAGCAAAGATTAAGAGGAGAGAGAAAAAAATGAAATTGCGATCTGAGAAGAGACTGTTGAAGTTACTTCGTAAAGAACAATGGAGAGAAAGGAGAAAAGAGAAATTTTAAGTATCACCATTTGGTGAACTTGCTCTTCCTAAATGTAGCTGATACTTGAATTTATTTTTTCAACATGCAGTCTGCAAGCGAATTGGGCTCGAACGTTAGACTGAAGCACTCCTTCGTTCGTCTACCGTATTTATTCGATTAAACGCCGCCCTCGAATAAAGGCCGCATTTTAGAGCAGAAATATTGATAAACGCTGCCCTCGAACAAACACCGCAGCATGGTGCGGTGTTTATTCGAATAATAGACTCAAAAAGCACACAGCGATCATTGCTTCGATCGCAGTTGGAAAAATTGAACCAGTGAGTGAACCAGACACAACTATTATTAATGTACCAGTTCTGATGTCGTGATAGCATATCCGACATTGGATGTTTATTCACTTTACGTATTGCAGCAGTCTTAACATGCAGATCGTGAGATGATGAGATGACTCTTTAGACAAGCACCAAAAAATGTTTCTGTTTTTTAAATTAAATGGTTAGTTATCATACAGTTGTTTGAAAGAAATAAATTGGATTCTAAATAAACGCCGCCCTCGTATAAGCGCGCCCTCAAGTCGCGAAAAATTTAATAAACGCCGTGGCGTTTAATCGAATAAATACAGTAAGCTTTTATTCAGCAACTCATTTTTTGTAGCTTGAATCATTCGAAAATATCAAATCTGCGAGTCGTAAATTAAGGAAAATGTTAGTGGTGTCACGTGTTATTAAGTCTTAAACAGGTTTATCATCAAACTAGAGACAAATTTCGATGTGCGCTCAAGGTCAGTCACGCGAGACGCAAGAAAAATAGAGACGTGGTTAGTTTGACATCTTTTTTCTTTACAAAAAGTAAAAAACAGCTACCAGTTTTAATTATTTATGGTTAGAAGGACCCCTCGTTATTTCCAAGTTTGAATAGCGGGCAGAAATTGCTTCGACGGCAGCACTACCGCTGAAAATAAATACTTTTGTTGACACTTCATCGTAACAGCCTTTGATTAACTGTCGAAGGATCTCAGTTGAAAGCAGTTTTAACCTCTACCCAAACGTAACGGGAACAATTTATGGCGATTAAAAGCAAAAAGTGGGCCGATTATTCTTTTACAGTGAAATAATCTGATCGATCCTTATTCGCCAGTGGCTTAGTCGTCATTCAAATTTACTAGTATCCACGCCTTTTTTTTTTCTAAATGTCTGTAAACTCAACCCAATAATTAGAAATGGAAGCATCTCAATGAATTACTAGGAGTACATATTGAAGAAGATTTTGAGCAATACAAGCAAGAGGATATATTTTTTCTATAATAACTCAAGGAAAAGTATTCGTGTCCAAAGACTGGTAGGAAAAGTACTGATGTTATTGTATCCACTTTCATTCAATTTTGTATTACTTTGAGACTTACATGTATGACTTATTAATTAAATTTTTCTTTGTACATATACTCAATACATTTACATCGACAGGACAACATTTGCGCTGAAATGCGAGTAAAAAATTTAATTTTGAATTAAAGTTACTGTTAACAACTTCATGTGAGCACCATTCATTTTACAAGGCAGTAGAATCATGACATTGCATGCAGTGGTTTTCCACCCTGCATGCACTCTTTTCAGAGAGTCTGTTGAGTTGAATGGCTTAAAACTGATAAAAATCCTCGATCAGTTAATGAATATATAGGGAGTTGTTCAAGGGATGACTTTCTCATTCTCACCGTCTAGAAATTACCGGCCACAATAAAAAAACCAGCAAACAAAAAGACGAAATGATAGAAAAATAAAATGGAACGAAATACAAGGGAAATGTTTTTGACAATGAAACGAGATGTAAGTGGATTAAATAATCTCTACTCTTCTTTTTCTCTCTTTCGCCAGAACTGTAGATGTCAAAACAAGGGATCAGAGCCCTGTATCTTTTTACTTCCAACGATCTTTAAAATTCATAAAGGGAATTCAGTCGAAAGTTCTCTACTAGAGTGCGTGCACTAAATTTTGCACGTGCTGGTCAAAATGCTAATTACCTGGAGTATTGGAGAGATGACGTATGCTTGTAGGTGGGAAGAAGTTGAGCAAAAAGCAGCTACCACAACAGCTTGCCTTGAAATACCCGAAGCAAAACTACATTTTCAACGCTGAAGAATAGAGTGCAAGCAAGAGAACACGTCGTTTAATTCCGAATCGAACGACGAGTAGTAAGAAAGAGCTGCACGCGAGTCGCGCGAACACTTCTCACAGTGAGGAAGATTCAAGAGTTCGAGCTTATGGAAAACCTTAGGTAATATTTCCTAGAGACTTTTGCTTGTTCAGAAAAAAAGTAGATTAGGGGTCGCATTTGTACCTATCTTTCTAAGGAGAAATAGAGTTAGCTAATAGAGTTCCTGATTTTGATTTCTGATTTCTGATTTTTTCAATCTTTGTTTTACGTTTTACAATCCAATAGCTTGGAGTCATGTCGGTTAATTTTCCTGCCACATTTGTAGCGAGCGCTCGTAAGAAACGATCGCAGAGACTGAAATTATAGGGTTAGTCTCTTGATCACGCGATCTTTTACGACACAGAATTTTGATAACTCACAAGTTTAACTCTAAAGTTTGGATCGGCTGGTAAATTATGAGCTTCAAAATGTTTTATATACCCCGTTGAAAAGAAAGATTTCGGTACTCTATGGTATCCTTTACAATATCAATTTTTTTGTGATATTTAAGTAGTTAAAAGATTCGCAATGTCTAACAGAATTTTGAATATTGCAAAGTCTCAAAAGCGATGTTTTTCGTGTCCGGCTGCAAATACATTCATATTTTTCTTCTTCGCATCAAATCATCGGTTTGATGTTGTATGTACACAAAAAATTAACAGGAGAGTCAGAAAAGTGATCACTTTTGTGCCCATAGCATAATTCTGTATTGGAAACTGGAGACTAGTCATGAAATGGCTTCTGTTGATTGGCCTAAAAATCCCGCGTGACTTCTGTCTAAAAATGAGCGGGAAAATGAGACGCGGTGTGTCACGGTCGTTTCGTTGCTTCACAAGGTGGTTTCGGTGGTTTTGTTAGACTTTATGCAGGTATCTTCGGTCAATTATGGGAAAACAAGAAGTCATCTGGCGTCAAAATATTCTTGGTGAGTAATTGTACTCTAACGCTTAATGTGATTGTAAATTAGTTTGTTTATTTGCTTCGGAGTTTTTGTGGCATCATCATAACAATCATTCTACATGTGATTTCCACGGACATTTCGGCTAAGTATCCGTGATTTAAATATCACTGTAAATGATTGCAGCCACAAATTGAATCATCATGAGATATAACTTAATTCTGCTAGGATCAGATCGTGTAATTTACCCGCAATATTTCATGATCACCCTTCGATTATTTAAGTTTTTTATGATGCTAAAATTACAATATCATCATTACGTAATCAAATTATGGATCAAGTTATTTTAATTAAACTTGCTACATAATTATAAACCATTATCATTTACATTACTGTTCAAACTGCTTCATTGTGAAGATCATCTTTATTAACGGTTCAATTAAAGTCTAGGGTGTCCTTCTTGGAATTTTAAGTTTTCCTGAGAAATGCATGCTTTTGGAAGAACACCATATTGATGATATTCACCGTTAGTCGAATTTTTTATCAACTTTTTGTTCTCTTTGCTATTATAAATATTACTGTTATTATCATCATCATTTACGTATTTTTAAAGCAAGTACTTTTTTCTTGTCGTGCATTGGGAAGATTTAATTTTTAATCCTCTCGGCAGAGAAATAACGTTATTTTGCGAATTATTTCTATGTCAATATTAAGTGAGGCCCATCTTAGCTTATGGATTACACACGGTAATATATCACAAGTTACACCGTAGCGATATTGCGATACACAATGGTTTATGCATCACCAGCTAACACACAAGTACGATTTCTGTGATGTTTTTGTCATGAACCACCAATTGCAAGGGTTTGCGCGGTTTGGCAGCAGAATGCCACATGAGAGATTCTGTAATGAAAGGAAAGTGTTAGTGTGTGTCTCTCTTGCAGTCAAGCGACTTGTCCCTTAACGTAGAGACATCGATTAACTTTTTCCAACGCAACTGCAGACAAATTGTTAAAAAGGAAAAAAGCTATTTTATCTTTAGACTTATTTGTCTGCCTCCTCTTAGTACCTTTGAATTTGTTACATTGCTATTCGAGATGTAAATCAGATTATCTCGTTAACGCACAAAGCGAAACATACGACCCACACGTTTTTTCAAGGTCAGTTATTATCCTCCAACTAATGAAATTGTTTTCCTGAGAGGTGTTTGATCGGTAATACATGGATGTCCCGTACAATCGAACGCGGTTTCGTCATCTTTATAACAGGCTCACAAAATCTGCAAACAGCCCTTTAGAGCTTTCTAAGGTAACTCGCCCAATTGACAGACGACGTAAATTCCCTTTGCAATTATTTAGGTAAAGGTTTAACCCTTTAACTCCCATGAGTGACCAATACAGAATTTCATTTTACAGTATCAGTACAATATCAAGCAGAAAAGTGATGAGAATGAAGAAAAATACTAATTAGGGGATTATTAGTTGATCCAATAATAAATTCTCCAAATTAACATCACAAGAACTATATGGCAGACAGTAAGGAGAATTCTTAATGATATCTTGGGAGTTGAAGGGTTAAATCTTATTTCATAGCCTAAAACCGTATAGACTTCTTTATTACTTGAACGATTTAAGGCAGGTTTGAATGTGACGGAATTTCAAGAAATATCTTGACGTTCTTGAGAGCCGAATGTGATAAATCAACCTGAAACAAATAGCAAATTCCGAAAAAACGATGACTTCATACTGAGAGTGTTTCCTTAGACCACACAGTTGGTAAACAGCGGAAGCCGAACCCAGGATGTGATAAAAGCACAGAAATAATACCTCAGTTCCTCTATACGTGATTTAAAACTAAATCATGAAAGTTTCCGTAAGAGACACAATAGACTTTCAAAATACGTCAGGAAACATTTATACAGGTTGCTTTTAAAACGCAACAGACCACACAATTCGTCTGTTTCGCCTTAAAGAGCGTAAAAAAGATGCTCTGCAGCGCATAAACCATGGGGCTCTACAACAATATTACTCTGATGCTTTGCAGTTTACTCACTACATAAATATCGAAAGAGAGATTGTTGTGAGGCCTCAAGTTCGGCTCTTTGATTCCAGCTTGCCTCATGGTAGCGCATGATGAGAAGCGGCTCCGCGTATGTAATAAAATGTTTTCTGCTAATCATCGAAAAAAAGGAAAACCGATCAACAAACTTACCGTCTTGAGTAGAAGACGAATGAAGCCTCATCTGGTATCAATTTTGAGTGACTCCTTTACTCCAACTAGTAATTGCATGGGTTGTTTTTAGGCAGACATTTGCCACCAAGTGTGCTCCTTTCATCTGTATTGTGC